GTGGTGGCTGGATGGGTGAGAATACTAAGATTGTTGATTGTTGTGTTGCCTCACTCTTGAATGTATCATGTAGATTCTTACCATTTTTCAACAAATAACGTACGGAAAACTTCTTGTCTATTGCATTGAGCGACATTTGGATGTAGATGGTCAGAGGCCCGAGATACGCTGCGTATCCGGGTAAAATACGCATAGAAAATTTCAAATTACGCATTGAAAAATAATTGTTGCGTACCAATTACGCATTTAAAATGAAAGATACGCTAAAAGTTTAGAACAAATGCGTACAAAATATATTTATAAAAAATCGCTTGCGTAATGAAAAAGACATCGATTGCTATCAAGTTGTACTGTTAGTATAGGACAAGTGTTGTACTGTCAGTATAGGATGAGTGATTTTTTTATAAAATCATTTCCATTATATTTAAGTTGGTTTTGATTAGGAATGACATAAGGCAGAACATACCTGCTTAGTAAACTTACTCAATGACATAATACTTAAGTGAGTAAAATGACTGAAATACGCACATATTTGAAAGCAGTGGGTAACGGAAAATGAAATACCCACTCAACATTCAAAATACCCACTCCAAAAAAATTACAGTGGGTACAGTACCCACATGAGCTAAATCTTATCTGGAGCTCTGGATAGTTATCATTAACAAGCTAAAAATGACTTAAAGCAAGTGATGAGGTGAAGAGGCACTTGAGGTTCCCTCTGGGGCATTTTAAAGAATATTAAACAAACTTAAACTATGAATTTAAACATAAACAGCAAGCAGTGACAAGAAGCAGATGATTTTTGAATGTTGAACACTGATTTATGTGTTTTTGGCATATTGGTGAAAGGGGTAGTGATAAAACTGCTAATTCTCAAAAACCTGTTTGTCATGAATGGTGATCTGCCTTCAGTTGCTGGCTATCTACAGGGTGTATTTTAATGGTATTAAATGTAATATGTGATCCTTGTGTTAAACAGAATATTTGATAACTGAAATGATTAGTTTTTAGACATAAATTGTGATATCTTGCTAATGTTTTTCTGTCCTTAGTGATTAATTTTAAATATATTTAACATTACACTTTTCATCACTGTGGCTAAAATATTGCTGAGGTGATGTTGAATGTTAACTCACTAAACTCATGCATTTGCACAATGATTTGAGATCCAAGGATTCTAACCTGAATCAAGATTTTAAGAGACTAATGAGCCAGACCCATACCGATAGAGACAGGAGTCAGATATGCAGGGAGCAAGTTCACTGAGCACAAGACCCCTCCAAAAACAACAAGACACAGACGTGGGAATCTCTGTGTTGCTGATTTCTGGTCCATCGTTTTCACAGATATTGGGTTGCTTGACCCATAGGTGCTGAAATCAATCTGTAGCAATACCGACAGTGCCGTCGAGTCTGACTATCTCCGTGACACTACCTCCGGTAGTCGCCAGCATCAGCAGGCTTATTGCATCACAGCCAGGCTTCAGTGTTTTGATTCCCTTGTATCTCTGCCTGCTGCATTAAAAGGAAATCAAAGGTGGAGAGGGACGCAGCAAGTGCACTGCAGGTGGAAGGTTGTCATGGCAACGAGGTGTGGCGCTGTGGTGGGTGTTTGTGTGGTGTGACGGGCCAGACTAGATGAAGCACATGATTATGTGGGTACATTACGGAGTCTGTCCTCCTCCTCCTCTGGGTCACACGCCGCCGAAAACCATCTGGCGGCACACCGGAGTCATGGTCACCCGCCATACCTGGCCTTGCCTCGCAGCCGTCACCACATCTCGCATCGTCCCACGTGCGTCTGTATCATCATTTACAGGACATTGACCCCAGAAGATGCAAGGACTAGCTGACTGGGCAGCCTGTCTACTGATATACGCGAAACGCAATAAGAACAGTCGAAGACAGACATATTGATTTTTCCCGTGACCGGCCGAGATGTTATGACCGAGGCTTCCCTCGACCCAACTGACCACAGGACAAGAAATGACGTCTGCTTGGTGTCTGCGGATCAATATGTCCAAATTGTCTCCGAGATGAGCCTTCACTGTCCAATTGGCCAGGATGACCGTCTGCTTAACACGTCTGCTGGCCCATTTTGAAGAAGACGTGTGCACTGTTATTGTTGATGAGGATGTGGGTAGAGGCGACGACGAGGATGCGGGGACTGTCCATGAAGGCGGCATTGTTTGTGTTGTGTGACCTGCCCTAGTCGTCTGGATCGATGATTTTACTGCATGCCATGGTGGCCCCATCCATCAACCATAGCTACGTGTTTCTGATTCAACCATTGTTTTGGAATGTATGTTTGTGAAGGGCTCTACTGCCACCGGGGTAGGGAATTCATTTGGTTTCCTAGATCTCTCCACTTATTTTTTCTCGTAAAAGCGCCCATATTTCATCTCATATTATTGTCACCAAAATATTTACAGTTGACTATACGCCATGTCTTTTAAGTGCATAACATGTATTCAGAAATTTTAGTCACAATTATAATTTCTGTAATTTTCAGGAATTCCGTACAGTTGTCTTCAGATACCATTGATGCTTTTTTAAACATATTAGATATATAAAACATATTAAGAAGTTTATTCACAAACATTCATGTTTCTAGAATTCATGTTCTTTGCCACTGAGGTGTACAGAATAGCAGGTGGAAGGCCGTGTTTTCATTGGTTCTTTTTGGTTTATTCTTCTCATTCAGGAAAAGAAACTATCTAGATACACTATTAATTGCCCCTTTTTATGCTGTATGGCCATGGTTGTTGATTTTTAGTGAAGGCCACAGATTTGTATGTTTACAAATTTTTATGTAATTTTGATTACAGTAATATTTAGTGTGTAGGCACATGATGTGGTTGTAGGAATGTGTTGTAGGCATGTGATTGTAGGCAGCTAGAATACTATGTTCAGAGACTTATAAACAATTTTTAAGGGATTCCCACTGTAATAGTTTTAGCTGAAAGTATATTCTGACATATATAAAAATTGAATATCAGAAATTTTTGTACATGCATTGACACACATAAAAATCGGAATAAATTATTGGTTTAGTTAACTGGATTTAAATTGCAACTAGTAAACTGACGAAGGGCTACTTGGTATTAAGTAAACAGATCATTTCACAGACATGTGAAAATGAGAATTAATATGCAACTTATTTTTAAATTACAATTTAAAATTTAAATAATATTCCTAATTGCTTCTAGTTGTGTCTGGCATCTTTGTAACAGGGCAGTATAGAGCCCGTGTGTTGTATCTGGTTCACAATGTATACGACCTAACGGATTCAATCACTGGCTTGCCTGGCCCAGATAAGATCAACAGGCTCTGTGATATTGCTGGCAATCGTGGTGAACAAGAAACACATTGGTATATAGATATGGATGAACATATCTGATTTCACAAGAAACCATTTCCATGAGACTATCTGAAAGATAAATATCAGGTTTTACCAGAAACAATTTCAACATGCCGTGTAATGGGAATTTCTGAGAGATAAGTTTGAAAGTTACTGGAATAATATGCTGAATCTCCCCCCAAAATGTTATTTTTTATTTTTAAAACACCCCAAAAAACAAAAACATCACCAAATGAATGAAAATGGAGTAAATATCCAATGGCTAAAAATAATTGATCTTCATGTTCGAGCCTTGTGTATCTGATTACCGTGTCAGTCATGTTTGATGGCGGTGGCCATGTTTTGGTCAACATTGGCCAGCTGTTAAACATTAAGATCAATATGAGGCAGCTCCTGGTGTTTACACCTTGCCCAGTGGTCAGCTCAAACACACCCATGTGACCAGCTCTGTAAGGTCAAGGTCAGGTGTCACCGTGTCCCCAAGTTTGGCATGTTTACACAGACTGGTTGGGAAGGATATGGATGTAGGTTCTCAGCAACATATGCTTGTCTTAACAGGCGATGCCTGACACCCGGGTTTGCAGGGTTGAAAAGTTTTTCACTGGTCCAGTAAACTTTCAAAATCCACTTGACCAAATAATAATTTCAACCCGTGAAGATCCGGGGTAGAATAGGTCTTCAGCAACCCATGCTTGCCACAAAAAGCGACTTCGCTTGTTGTAAGAGGCGACTAACTGGATCGGGTGGTCAGGCTCGCGATTTGTTGACACATGTCATCTATCCCAAATGCGCAGTACGATGCTCATGCTGTTTATCACTGGATTGTCTGGTCCGGACTCGATTATTTACAGACCACCACCATATAGCTGGAATATTGCTGAGTGCAGCGTAAAGTAAAACTCAACTCACTCACTCAAATATTAATTTTCACTTGACCACAATGATCAATTTGGTTTCTTTTGCACATAATCTTTATCAAATGGTAGCAATTGCATTTTGTATTTCATCATCAAAACGCATATATCAAAACGTTTCAGTAGTTTTGCACTACTGTACCACAGTAAAGTTAAATGTGGATATTTACTTGACCGACCGAATTCCACTCGGCTCAGGCGTTGGGGCAGTGGTATTTTTCAACCCCTGGTTTGGTTCCCAACACATAGGGAAGGAGCTAAATAACTGATTTTAGACTTTATTTTTATTACCTCACGTGTTCCTGTAACAGTTTACACAAAAATGGGTTTGTAAGGTCCAACAACATAGCACTGGAATTAGTCTGTGTCACAGTCCCTGAACCACATTATTTTCACTACTGCCAAGCCCTTTCTGCAGTGCTAAAGCCCTAAATAAAGCAAGTCTAGATTCCCTCAGGTTCTGAATCTCTGGTCTCCCTCGGGCTCCTTGTCAATTTAAATGGGCTTGTTTGTTACCATCAAAATTCTATATATTCAGAGACTAAGCGTTAGTCTTCACTGGACTCTGAAAATAATGTTGAGAGCCATGTTCAGGATTGTAGACTCAACAGTGTTTTGCAGAGACTGTTTCAGACCAGTGGATGAAGTCTCAAACCATTTCGACAGGTGTTCGTGCAGTGGCATGTATGAAGGTCCTTGTACTAATGACAAACTTTTCATTTTCAGGACAGCTGTCCAAGAACAGGCATGTGAGTGCAGGGGCAAGCACGACCTATGGTCGCCTAGCAACGGGCAGCAACCACTTGCTGATGATGGCCGATCCCCTGCAGCAGCAACATCATCAACAGCAACAACAGGCGCAGGAGGACATTGCAGCCATGCAGAACCGCATCCCTGTCGCGTTCCGGGAGCCCACCGAAGCCCCGCTACGCAAACTAAGCGTAGACCTTATCAAAACTTACAAGAAAATAAATGAGGTGAGATGTATTACAATTCTGTTGGTTGAAATAGATTGGATTGTTTTTTCTGAACTTCGACCTTGAAACATACTCTTCCAGTATTTCTTGCATGTGTGACAATTCCAGGAAAACAATTTTCTAGTACGTCTTGCTTGTCTCCCCTCTTGAGATTCCATGTCTGAATAGGCCTTTAGTACCTCTTGCTTGTCTCCCTGGTAGAGATTCCAGGTCTGAATAGGTCCCCAGTACCTCTTGCTTGTCTGCCTGGTAGAGATTCCAGGTCGAAATAGGTCCCCAGTACCTCTTGCTTGTCTGCCTGGTAGAGATTCCAGGTCTGAATAGGTCCCCAGTACCTCTTGCTTGTCTGCCTGGTAGAGATTCCAGGTCGAAATAGGTCCCCAGTACCTCTTGCTTGTCTGCCTGGTAGAGATTCCAGGTCTGAATAGGTCCCCAGTACCTCTTGCTTGTCTGCCTGGTAGAGATTCCAGGTCTGAATAGGTCCCCAGTACCTCTTGCTTGTCTCCCTGGTAGAGATTCCAGGTCTGAATAGGTCCCCAGTACCTCTTGCTTGTCTGCCTGGTAGAGATTCCAGGTCTGAATAGGTCCCCAGTACCTCTTGCTTGTCTGCCTGGTAGAGATTCCAGGTCTGAATAGGTTCCCAGTACCTCTTGCTTGTCTGCCTGGTAGAAATTCCAGGTCTGAATAGGTTCCCAGTACCTCTTGCTTGTCTCCCTGGTAGAAATTCCAGGTCTGAATAGGTTCCCAGTACCTCTTGCTTGTCTCCCTGGTAGAGATTCCAGGTCGAAATAGGTCCCCAGTACCTCTTGCTTGTCTCCCTGGTAGAGATTCCAGGTCTGAATAGGTTCCCAGTACCTCTTGCTTGTCTGCCTGGTAGAGATTCCAGGTCTGAAAAGGTTCCCAGTACCTCTTGCTTGTCTCCCTGGTAGAGATTCCAGGTCGAAATAGGTCCCCAGTACCAGCCTAATTCCCATCTCAAGGTCAGTTTGTTACTCATCAGGTTATTAATATTGATAATTCAGAGACTATCGTGATATATCCAAATATCCGTCAATGACGTGGTTATGGTAAGAGAGGGGTTGAGTGAGTTGAATGAAGTGTATGCTGGCCTCTTCCAAAACGTGCTGTGTAAAAGGTCAATCTAGACCACACGGTGTGTGGGAGGCCACTGACGACAAAGTAAAGGTTATTGTAGACGATCCTGTAAGTATCCTCAGTGTCTGCATTCCGACCACCTATGGCATACATAGATCCCATCTCCATTGCCCAGTGTGAGGGGAACTTGAGCCACCTGCATATCAGGTCCGAACTGTGGCAAAGGTCAGTTTGGCAGCATCAAAGCATACCTGTATGTGTTGTTGACTTTGATGATGCTTATAGGGCCTCTTGACCACACATTGGTGTAGAAGACTGAAAACAAGCCCCCATAACATCTGGCCCTATCACCAAGCTCATTCTTTGGTTGAGGGACATGTGATCCAGGTTAGCATTGGTCTTCAGTAACTCATGTTTGTCGTACGAGGCGACTATTGGGATTGGGTGGTCAGGCTCGCTGACTTGGTTGACACATGTCATTGCATACCAATTGCTTAGATTCGATGCTCATGATGTTGATCACTGGATTGTCCGAGTGCAGCATAAACAACAACCAAACAAAGCAAAACCAATCTTTGGTGGAAGTTGCCAAATGGTTAAAGTGTTCACTTGTCTGAACGTCTGGGTTTTGATTTCTCTGTCGGCTACCGTGTGATTAACATTACTGGAATATTCCACCATGGTATTGCCAGAACAAGGGTAAACTACATTTGTCCAATCATTCATTCAATCAATCTGTCAATCAATCACAAAACAGAGGCCTATCACAAACCCAAGAACCCTTATACAACTCAGTACACAGACATCTGTTACACAACCCTTTCCCATCACCGTCTACGCCTCTGACTCACCAGGTAGGGAATCCCTCAATGACGTCAATACCCAGTTGCCTCCCCTTGTCTGATGTTTATCCGAGAATGCGGACCAAAATATCGTGTTAATGAGCAGGGCAGGCTCCCGGAAGTGTCTGTCCTGAAGATCCACCATGCTGCTGCCCCTCCAAGTGTGCAGGATATCAGTAAAGGTATCTAACCTGACTGTGCCCACTTCCTCCTTCGCACATCTCATCTGTAGATGTGTGGGGGCTGCTACCAGAACCACTAGCAAACTGCTGGCTCTCATGCAGGCCTGGATTTGTCAGGCTTCCATACTATACTACATGGTACTAGTGAAGAGCATGGTTAGAATTTGTCTTCAGCAACCCATGCTTGTCTTGAGGCTACCAACAGGATCAATTGTCAGGCTCACTGACTTGGTTGACGCATGTCATCTTATCCTAATTGCTTAGATCAATGCACATGATGCCAATCAATGGATTGTCTGGTCTGGTTTACAGACTGCTGCTGGGGCGTCGGGGTAGTCTAGTGGTTAAAGCTTTGGCTCGTCACGCCAAAGACCCGGGTTCGAATCCCCACATGGGTACAATGTGTGAAGCCCATTTCTGGTGTCCCCCACCGTGATGTTGCTGGAATACTGCTAAAAGCGGCATAAAATAATAATTGGTTAGCATCATTTATCAGATTTTCCTGGTTATGTTTGTTTGCACAAAAACATAAAGAATAAACATGTAGTTTTTTGGTTGTTTTTTTTGCAAATTGCTCATCTTTAAAGGATGACTAGTATGTTAGGAATATAAATTTCTTGGAGGTCTTTAAGATAAATTCAATCATGACTTGGACGAGCTTGTAGTGGTCATGAAATGTAACAGACAAAACCAACCGTATGAAAGACATTGTGAATGCAACAAGTGTTCCAGAATTGTTTGTGTTCGATTATGAGAAAACATGATCGATTGCTTGGTCGTTTAGTCACTGCGACCAATCTTCAATTATTTCAATTAATCGGACCACCACTAATCAGTAGGGGTGAAACGGTATACCGCGGTATAAGTAGAACTGCAGTATTTTGCCTACCTTTCAGTATACCGTAATGCAATCCAAAAAATCTGTATTTTCGTTTTTCGTACCATCATTTTATGAACCTTGTTAAACCTTTCCTAAATTATCTAGAAATATAATCAGTTTGTCAAAATCTATGCGTTTCTTTTCTTTCTGCATTTTGATCATATCTCATATACCAAACTGAAACGGACCGGACTGAAGGCCTTGTACCTCAATACATATTGTACCGTGGTAAGAGCGTACCGTTATGTTCAGTTAGTGTCACACCCTAGAGTCAAACACTTTAGCTCCCAATATATCACATTATACAGCCCTTCATACAGTGTTGTGGAACACGGAAGTACTTCAGTCATGGAGGTTGTGGAACACAGAAGTACTTCAGCCACGAAGGTTGTGGAACACAGAAGTACTTCAGCCATGGAGGTTGTGGAACACAGAAGTACTTCAGCCATGGAGGTTGTGGAACACTGAAGTACTTCAGCCATGAAGGTTGTGGAACACAGAAGTACTTCAGCCATGGAGGTTGTGGAACACAGAAGTACTTCAGACATGAAGGTTGTGGAACACTGAAGTACTTCAGCCATGAAGGTTGTGGAACACAGAAGTACTTCAGCCATGGAGGTTGTGGAACACAGAAGTACTTCAGCCATGGAGGTTGTGAAACACAGAAGTACTTCAGCCACGAAGGTTGTGGAACACACAAGTACTTCAGCCACGAAGGTTGTGGAACACAGAAGTATTTAAGCCACGAAGGTTGTGGAACACAGAAGTACTTCAGCCACGAAGGTTGTGGAACACTGAAGTACTTCAGCCATGGAGGTTGTGGAACACAGAAGTATTTAAGCCACGAAGGTTGTGGAACACAGAAGTACTTCAGCCACGAAGGTTGTGGAACACTGAAGTACTTCAGCCATGGGGGTTGTGGAACACAGAAGTATTTAAGCCATGGAGGTTGTGGAACACAGAAGTACTTCAGCCACGGAGGTTGTGAAACACAGAAGTACTTCAGCCACAAAGGTTGTGGAACACAGAAGTATTTAAGCCACGAAGGTTGTGGAACACACAAGTACTTCAGCCACGAAGGTTGTGGAACACTGAAGTACTTCAGCCATGGGGGTTGTGGAACACAGAAGTATTTAAGCCATGGAGGTTGTGGAACACAGAAGTACTTCAGCCACGAAGGTTGTGAAACACAGAAGTACTTCAGCCACAAAGGTTGTGGAACACAGAAGTATTTAAGCCACGAAGGTTGTGGAACACAGAAGTACTTCAGCCACAAAGGTTGTGGAACACAGAAGTATTTAAGCCATGGAGGTTGTGGAACACAGAAGTACTTTAGCCGTGGAGCTGAACTATAACAGTGAGGCCAGACTGCCAGAGGCAGGTTCAGATGTATCAGTGTTGAGCTGACTGTTGCTAGTGCTGCACTCACTTGGCCTAGTGGCACCAGCAGAATTCCAGGCATCCTGCCAGACTCGTTTCTTACCAGCCGGGCGATACAGGATATACTGGGGTAGCCACAATACATTCATGTTCCTGCTTTTCCAAACTTCAGTGACAACATAGATTTGACACACAGACATTTTTTAATGTTCCCGTATGGAATCTCTCTCAAGGTCATATTTGTATGTCGTTGTGGTCAGACAAGGTCAACCGCCTCCGTGGTGTAGTGGTTAGAGTGGTTAGAGCGGAAGGTCGCGGGTTCGAACCCCGACCGCATCAGACCAAAAGACGTTAAAATATGGTACTTGTTGGTCCCTGCCTGGCTCTCGGCATTAATGGGTACAAGGACTGGTCGGCTCGGAGTCAGTATAATGTGTCTGAGTGGGATATTCATGCTTCACTGCGGCATGGTATCTCAGTGGGATAGCACTATAAAACCAGCTTCAGTCTGGGCTAGTACAAGCAGCCGCACATGCACACGCATGCACGTCGTCATATGAGCGAAATATTCTCAAGCACAACGTTAAACCCAACTTCACCTCACCTCACCAAACAAGGTCAAATCATTTGGGTCGTTTCCAAAATTATTTGATTGTTTAGTTGACTTCCTGTACATTGCACTCTTACTCTTCCGAATGGAGTTCCCAGATATATGTTTAGAATTTTTCTCCTTTTCTGCAGCATTCCTAAGCTAAAAAACGTTGTGGGAGAATGCACACTGAAAGAGTCATATGTCTTTGGCTTGTTTTTATTCCTGGATTAATAGTTTGATGGGCGAATTGTCTAAATTTGTTTTCGTCAGTATGGGAAGATTGTCAAGCACCTGCTATTTATTTTGAGTTTGAGCAATATCTTCTGCAGTGGTATTAGATCTCTTTTAAAATTAAAAAAAATCACTTTTTGAAATGTTGGTCATTGTTCTTCAAGTATTCTCAGTGAAGCGAAGTCTGCGCAGTACCCTCCCTTTCAAAAGACAGGATACTGGTTCAAGTCACTGTTGTATATCTTTGGTCTTTCCTATCTCTGATGATCTGATATCGCAACTAAAATACTCTGTCAGGTGACTCAATGAATCAAGTGGTGAGACTGTGACTGTTGATTCGTTGGTAACCAGGGAATGGGATCCTTCTCATAACATCGACCACTGGTTTGTCTGAACAAGACTTGGCTATTTACAGGCAGCCATGATATAGCTGGAGTGTTCCTGAGTGCATCGATAAACAACAAGGTCCAGTACCGCCTCCACAGCCTCCTGAGCACTAGGCACCCTTTCCCCCTTGCACTCCTCATTATAACACATTGTCCTTGTGTAATTACTAAGTTATGTAACCCAAAACATGGCGTTATAATAGGGTGCTCATTATAAAACTCTTGCAGTAGTTTGGCATATTGATTTTTGTCAGCATCGGTCGTCAGGGCAATGCTGTCCGTCCCAAGTGTGAATGGCAAGTACTTGTGAATGGGCCAGCTCACATGTGGGAAGAGAGCCTCAATGGCTATCTGCCTTCAATGGTAGAATGCATTCAGGAAGTGATGTAGCTTCCTAGATCTGCAAGGATGCTTATGCATCCAGTTCCTCACTGTTGCCATGTGGCTCATTCATTCCGCAGAACCGCAGTCAGCTTCGTTCTGATTGGCTGGGTGTGACCTTGACCTTGGTTAATTATACATGATTATGTCGGCAATTAGCATAATTAGTTGTGGATTTGATCAGCTGGGTCCTAATGGGATTGGTAGCTGATGGTGGAGAGTGTTTATGGTTCAAGTTGGGCTGTTGTGTCCGGGTCAGTGAAACATTGGAAGAGAATCAATGCCAGTCCGCTGTGTTCACCAAACTTGAGCAGGGCGGTGGGGTAGCCTAGTGGTGAAAGTGTTCACTTGTCACGCACAAGACCTGGGTTCGATTCCCCACATGGGTACAATGCGTGAAGCTCATTTCTGGTGTCCCCCTGCCGTGATATTGCTGGAATATTGCTAAAAGCGGCATAAAACCATATTCACTCGCTCGCTCATCAGTTTAAGAAAGTCATGTTAAAGGACCATCCGAGTTCGGATAATAGTAACTCTAGAAATCTGAATTAGAATTGATGGTCAGCCACCCATGATTGTCACAGTTAGAATTTAACATTAGCCAACTGGCCTGCAACTGGTTCAAATTCCTGCGGGCTAGTTCAAATATTCATATTTCCCCATTTATATTTTTTAAGCTGCAAGGGCATTTTTATCATACTGGACTCGAGATAGTTTTTACTGGTTTAGTTTAACTATGATTTTCATAAGAGGCCTCTGGTTTGTCAGGCATACAGAATTTGTTAATGTCGACATATCCCAGTCTTAGTCGTATCTCAGAGCATAGATCAATGGTCATTATGTCAGTCACAGGATTGTGTGGTCCAGACTCCACTATTCACAAATTGCCGTCATTTATCTGGAATAACAGATGGATAAAATATGTTCATTTCAGAGACTAGTTGTTATACCCTAATAGGGCACAGTGTGCAAAGCCCATTTCTCGTCTTCCCAGCCAGGGGTGGTGGGGTAGCCTAGTGGTTAAAGCGTCCGCTCGTTCGGCCCGGTTTCGATTCCCCACATAGGCACAATGTGTGAAGCCCATTTCTGGTGTCCTCTGCAGTGATATTGCTGGACTATTGCTAAAAACAGTGTAAAACCCAACTCACTCACTCTTCCCTGTCAAGATATTGCTGGAATATTGCTAAAAGTGTCGTCAAATCCGTACTACTAGCAATGCTTTGTAAACTAATGTTTGGAAAACACTCCTGCTGTGCATGTATGGTATGGCAGGTACTTCTGGTAGACTGACCAATCAGGTCACTCCTACCTTTAGTTATAATAATTGCTGAAACAGGCTCAACACCAACTGACCAATCCGGTTTCAGTTTGGAGGACTCCTGGCCCCAATTTCTTGAAACAAACTTAAGTCTGAGTTTCGACTTAAGTTAGAGTTTTTACTCAAATTTGAGAAAATGCATTTCCCAGAATGAACTAAAATCGATATTAAACTCAAACATAGTAGATAATTCGAGTTTGGTGGATAGATTTCTTAAGTTGTTTGGGCTTTTTTTATTTAAAAAATGCAGTTGTTTCAAATTGTCCAACTCAGTTTGAAATTTGAGTAAAAACTTAAGTTTGTTTCGAGAAATCGGGTCCTGGACTCCTAGACTCCTAGACTATAAATACAGGCAGGACAGCAGGGAGAGAAACTAATAATAATCCAAATTGTGATGACACAGTAATGCTCTAAAATATGTTAGAAATCCTTTTTTCTGTTGATATTCCACGTAAAAAAATGGTCTAGGCAAGCAGGGCTGTTCACTTCTGTTCCTGGATTGGGATTCTGTTTAACCCTACCCACTTATCTCCCTTGCTTGTCTTCTTCGTAAGCAAGGTGGATTGGGGTAGCCCGTTGGTTGAAGTCACCTCTGGCATGCCATAGACCTGGTTTTGTAATATACTGCAACATGATCACTTATGGCACACATTTTCTATTTTTAAATCAAAAGTGAAATGAAACACCTGCTACTTTACCGTTCGTTGAAAATACATTACCTGAGAATTGATTTGGATTGAAGTGTGTTGATTTGTGCTGACTTGGCTGTTTCCTTTTACAGGTCTACTATGCCAAGAAGAAACGGCGTGCACAAGGCATGTCCGGCACTGGCGACGAGAGCGGAAACAAGAAGGGCAAGGTCAACGCACATGTGTACAACGACGGATATGATGACCAAAACCACGACTATATCGTGAACCCTGGTGAAAAGTGGCTCGACAGATATGAAATAGATTCTTTAATAGGAAAAGGCTCATTTGGTCAGGTGAGTTTAGGTGTATGGTGAAATTTTTCTTAAATCTGTTTTGTTTATGGAAGTAATTATTCGCTTTGCTGTCAAGAATAATTATCCCATCAATGAATCATGATGCCTGCATACACCTTTCAGTGAGATCTTGATAAATACAAAGAAGGAAGTATCTGCAGAGTTGCTTCCCTTTGATATGAAAGGATCCACCGGGCTTATGTTTGAATTCATGTCACAGGGTACATTTTTCTACAGAGTATCCGAATCACAGGGTTTCTGTCTGCCATGTTTATCATTTTTATTTGCCTGTGAAAAAACTGCAATGCTGTTTAAAAAGCCAAATCACTTACCCACCCAATTATCTAAATCCTGACACAGAATGATATATTTCAAACTGAGACATCACTCTCTCTCTCTCTTTCTCTCTCTCTCTCTCTCTCTCTCTCTCTCTCTCTCTCTCTCTCTCCTCTCTCTCTCTCTCTCTCTCTCTCTCTCTCTCTCTCTCTCTTTGTCTCTCTTTCTCTCTCTCTCTACCTCTACCTCTCAACATCTACCTCTCTCTCAACATCTACCTCTCTCTCAACATCTACCTCTCTTTCTACCTCTCTCTCTACCTCTCTACCCCTCTCTCTCCCTTTCTCTCTACCTCTACCTCTCTCTCTACCTCTACCTCTCTACCTCTATCCACACTCCACCCACTATGCACCACACACACACACACAGACTGTTTAGTTCAGTATTCTAGAACACCAAGGTAGAACTCCATTTCCCCAGCCACTGCACCATACAAGAGCATAATGTTGTGAATTATTCACCGATGCATGCTGGTTAGAGTGGCCACAGCCTGATTCACAGGTCGGTGTGAATGAAGTGGCACCATTGTGAGTCATGTGACCACCAGCCAATCAACAAGTCCCTCTTGTGTAATAACAACCAGTTATGTTGATACGAAGAAATCTTTACCAGTATCGCTGCTCACAGCGCATAGCAGGGCTGTAAGGAGGCTGGATTTCCAGCCATTGTTAGCTCTTATGACTTGTCGATCCATATATGTTCAGTCTTAGTTCATGAAATATTTGACAAGACTCCATAACCCAACTTGTCTTGTGAAAGCACCGAAGTCCTGTGTGTGACTGATACTGAAATGTGATCAGCTGTCATTTAGGGAAGTAAAGATTTCTACTTGATGTGATAAATCTTTACAAGTGTGTTATGAAGTTCGAATCTTTAGCTTCTTGTCCCAAAACCTGAATGTAGTACAATGTTGGTCTAGTAAGTTTACTAATCTTTTTAAAACTACAATGTACAAAAATTTATAGTATGACCCATGTTTGTGCTGGTCTCTTGAGGCTGGAATGATAATGAAAAAGATAAAGTGCTTATAAAAAAGAGAATAATATTCTTGACTGTTTGAGAAAATTTGGGTTATAGTTGACCTCAGTAATAACATAGTACGTGATTCATTTTTCTGCCTTTTTTCTTTAAAAAAGGGAGCATGAAGGCTAATAGTTTGAATATTTTCTGAGCATAGTCTATGTTATCAGGGTTCGAAATACCCCATATATTAGTGTGCCATGACACGGTTAAAAGATGTTCTCTGTGCCCTTTTGACACTCCTAATTTTCTGGAGACTGCTCACATTTAGTCATTTAATCCCCCAAACAATTATTTTTTACCAAACTGAATAATACCATACATATTTGAATGCTCATAAACCCATTTCTTTATTTAACACTAAATTTCAAATGATCATCATCATTGCCATTTATTCTAAAAACATGTGGGCATACTTGATTTCTGAAAGGCACACCTAAAATATTTGTCTGGTGCCCTAAGGCACACTTAAAAAAAAAGTATTTCTATCCCTGGTTATATTGTTGCTAAACAACACAACAGGTTGCTGTGGAGATGAAGTTAAGCCCATGAAAATGGCTCATATATTACAAGCGTGTGTTGGCACGGCAGTTTGTTCCTGATTTATTAGATGACTAAGCTGTCTGTGAATCAGACAGTCACTGGACTGAATCGAGTGACAAAAACTGACTGGACTATGACTGTATATTTCAGTTTGACTAATGGCGTTGGTTAGAATCAAGTCCTTGTCAGTGTTGAGAACTGGACATTTTGCTGTTAAAGGACCAGGTACCAACACTGTATACACAACATAACCCATTAATTCCTAACATTAAAGAAAGTCAACCAGAAGTAATAGTATAGAATTCTCACCAATGGACCTTTAGTGAATAGATTTTATGATTTTTGACAAATATTCGCCCCAATTCTAGGGTCTTAGTCAGAGAGCTGATGTTAGAAATAATAGATTTGGAGTTTCTGAAATTTGAATGCTGAAGGGGCCTCAAGGACCTTTAAAATTGAATATGGGTTGTGATACCACCAGTGAAGCAGTAGTGAGTTGAGGAACCTCGTCACTGTTGTGTCTGTTATGTGAGTTTTGTTGGTAGGTGAACGGGCCGGGGATCTGACAACAGTCAGGAGTGAGTGGGAGGGAGCTGGAGTAGATGATGCAGCTGCTTGTGAGTGAGGCAGCCACCGCAGCAGCAGTCGCAGATGTGGGTCATGCCCAGTCAGGATCAATAGCAGAGGAGTAGGCTACTGGGTCATGGGAGGAGGGGAGAGAGAGTTTACTTGTGGATGGAAGGTGTGGGTTGTGAATGGAGCTGAGAACGATAAGTGTGTGGTGGCTGAGAGCAATGGTCGTAATAGGGGGGTAAAGACAGTTTACTTGTGGGTTTGAAGGTGTGGGATGTGTATGAGGTTGAGAACGATATATGTGATGAAAGAGAGCTTAGATTATTGGTCGTAATAGGAGGGTAGACACAGTTTACTGGTGGGTTGGAAGGTGTGGGATGTGTATGGGGTTGAGAACGATATATGTGATGAAAGAGAGCTTAGATTATTGGTCATTGGAGGAGGGTAGACACAGTTTGCTGGTGGATGGGAAGGTGTGGGATGTGTATGGGGTTGAGAACGATATATGTGATGAAAGAGAGCTTAGATTATTGGTCATAATAGGAGGGTAGAGACAGTTTGCTTGTTGGTTTGAAGGTGTGGGATGTGTATGGGGTTGAGAACGATATATGTGATGAAAGAGAGCTTAGATTATTGGTCATTGGAGGAGGGTAGACACAGTTTACTTGTGGATGGGAAGGTAGGGCTGGCTGGTGTGGGTTGTGAAGGGGGTACCTGACGTGTGTACTGAAGAGATAGGTTACTGTGTCATGTAAGGAGGGTAGAAACAGTAGGGATGAGCTGTGGATGGGGTTGATATGTGTGTGGTGGATGAGAGCATAGACTTCTTGGTCATTGGAGGAAGGTAGAGACAGTTAACATGTTTGTGGGAAGGTGTGGGTTGTGTATTGGGTTGAGAACGATATATGGGCGATGGCTGAGGACATCTGTGTCGTAGGAGGGTAGAGACAGTAGGGCTAGCTGGTGTGGGTTGTGAATGGGGGTTACTGGTGTGGGTTACTGTGTCGTGGAAGGAGGGTAGAGCTAGCTGGTGTAGGTTGTGAGTGGGGGTTACTGGTGTGGGTTACTGTGTCGTGGAAGGAGGGTAGAGCTAGCTGGTGTAGGTTGTGAGTGGGGGTTACTGGTGTGGGTTACTGTGTCGTTGAAGGAGGGTAGAGCCTAGCTGGTGTAGGTTGTGAGTGGGGGTTACTGGTGTGGGTTACTGTGTCGTGGAAGGAGGGTAGAGCTAGCTGGTGTAGGTTGTGAGTGGGGGTTACTGGTGTGGGTTACTGTGTCGTGGAAGGAGGGTAGAGCTAGCTGGTGTAGGTTGTGAGTGGGGGTTACTGATGTGGGTTACTGGTGTGGGTTACTGTGTCGTGGAAGGAGGGTAGAGCTAGCTGGTGTAGGTTGTGAATGGGGGTTACTGGTGTGGGTTACTGTGTCGTGGAAGGAGGGTAGAGCTAGCTGGTGTAGGTTGTGAGTGGGGATTACTGCTGTGGGTTACTGGTGTGGGTTACTGTGTTGTGGAAGGAGGGTAGAGCTAGCTGGTGTAGGTTGTGAATGGGGGTTACTGGTGCGGGTTACTGTGTCGTGGAAGGAGGGTAGAGCTAGCTGGTGGAGGTTGTGAGTGGGGGTTACTGGTGTGGGTTACTGTGTCGTGGAAGGAGGGTAGAGCTAGCTGGTGTAGGTTGTGAATGGGCTTACTGCCGTGGGTTACTGTGTCGGAAGGAGGGTAGAGCTAGCTGGTGTAGGCTGTGAGTGGGGGTTACTGGTGTGGGTTACTGTGTCGCGGGAAGGAGGGTAGAGCTAGCTGGTGTAGGTTGTGAATGGGGGTTACTGGTGTGGGTTACTGTGTCGTGGAAGGAGGGTAGAGCTAGCTGGTGAAGGTTGTGAATGGGGGTTACTGGTGTGGGTTACTGTGTCGTGGAAGGAGGGTAGAGCTAGCTGGTGTAGGTTGTGAGTGGGGGTTACTGGTGTGGGTTACTGTGTCGTGGAAGGAGGGTAGAGACAGTAGGGCTAGCTGGTGTAGGTTGTGAATGGGGGTTACTGACGTGGGTTACTGTGTCGTGGAAGGAGGGTAGAGACAGTAGGGCTAGCTGGTGTAGGTTGTGAATGGGGGTTACTGGTGTGGGTTACTGTGTCGTGGAAGGAGGGTAGAGCTAGCTGGTGTAGTGGGGAATGGGGGTTACTGACGTGGGTTACTGTGTCGTGGAAGGAGGGTAGAGCTAGCTGGTGTAGGTTGTGAATGGGCGTTACTGCCGTGGGTTACTGTGTCGTGGAAGGAGGGTAGAGCTAGCTGGTGTAGGTTGTGAATGGGCGTTACTGACGTGGGTTACTGTGTCGTGGAAGGAGGGTAGAGACAGTAGGGCTAGCTGGTGTAGGTTGTGAATGGGGGTTACTGTGTCGTGGAAGGAGGGTAGAAACAGTAGGATTGGGCTGTGTACCATATCATGGAATGAGGTAGACATGGAGTTTATAGATGTGGGTGACAGGTGGGAGTGACTGGGATTCATGAGATAGCAGTGGGATGTGTAAAGAAAGGATGAACAAGGCTACAGTGAACAAACTGGTGGGGAGATACGTACTGGTTACCAGTCAATGGGATACTAATATAGAAAAGCATATGTCTGATACAGCTTGTAGAATTTCAAGATAAGCAAGTTTAAGTGAGAAGTAATACGGTGTCTATATACTGGATAGCCTAGCTCTCATAATGAGGTGAAGGGTAAGGGAGATAACTCAGTGTTTCCCTAACCACTACTTATGTAAGTAATTACTTACTGGATGTTGGGAAACAGCTTATGAGCGAAAAGTGTTCCTCACATAATTTGTATCTTTTTTCAAATTTCCGTGGTATAACTGCTGTATATCATAGACATTCTGCAAGATATGACAAGCATATCCGCTAGGTGATGACTGTTCAGTAAGCCTTCTCCACCTTGAACATGCTTCTGTCATGACAACCTGCTTCACTCATTTCTACTCCTGAGACCTCCTAGATACAGAGGGGCTTGGAGGCAGTAGTGGGGGAGAGAATCATCCAGAGGGACCAGAAATAGCAGCAGCCAGGTGGCAACACACTTTCTAGGTCGAGGGAGGTTGCCCAGGGGGACACATGTAAACTGCTATTTCTGAGCATGGCCTTTTCTTCCCCTTGTTAAGTTGGTTTACAGATTTTTCTCTCCCCCTCCTTGAGTTACTAACCTTTACTGTCAACGCTGCATTTTCACATAAATTATTGCTAAAGCCACACCTCGAAAGAGTAACACATCTCTTTTTGTGAACAAGATATATGTTCTATTACTTTTATTCCTCATGGGTTCATGTGAGAAGTGAAAAAGGAGTTTTGAACGAAATTTTCAACTTGATCACTTTTTCATGTGTAGGAAATGTTTGGGTTTAATGCTAGTTTATAAGATATCACTTGTGTCAGTTTAACGTGGAGGAAAGCCCAAAGTGATACTCGCCTCTGATGTTTACCACCTTTGTGAAATCATCAAACACAAGCATGTTGTTGACAAACCTAGAAACATAAGCAAGGTAAAATTGGATTCAAACCCACAATCTTTAGCTTTTGACACACCCAAGGGATGCAACTTTACATGGAGAAAACATCACAGCTGTAGAGCCTGTCATTACAGGAATGTGGCTCACTTCAGACCAAACATGCTTCGTTATAATTGTCAGTGACCCAAGTTATGAAATTCTATTGGAATTTGCTTCTAAAATATGATAAATATGCATGCAATTTCATATCTTAAACAAAAACATAAATATCAACTCAGAAATCTTATCTTGAGCACTTAAGCTATCAGTGGGCTGGAGTCTGTGGTGATGTGATGTTGCTATTGGCTTGATCTGTCTCTTATAACAGTCGTATACCACGGTGCTGGCGAGCAGTGCAGTGTCTGCTGTTGGCACTTAGAAATGCCCAGACCTTTCTGTTATTCCCTAATTTGGTGAAACTTGGGTGTGTGAAAAATATGATGCTGAGTAACTTGTTAACCTAAAAATGTCCAACACTCCCTGATGATACTCAAGTCAAGCTGCTTGATAATGATTCGGGGGGGGGGTGTGTGTGTTGATTCTTCAAACGGCAGACTTGAACATAGCTTGCTTAATTCATTTCTGTTACGTTCATAAATAAGTTATCAAGCCTTGAAGTTGGCTTAATAATATCATAGTACTATTGCAACAGTTGGAAAATATTACAATAATGTTGCGACTGTTGGTACCTATCACAATGCTATTGCAACACTTGACAACTATCACAACACTGTTGCAACTGTTGACAGCTATCATCGCAACACTATTGCAACAGTTGGAAAATATTACAATAATGTTGCGACTGTTGGTACCTATCACAATGCTATTGCAACACTTGACAACTATCACAACACTGTTGCAACTGTTGACAGCTATCATCGCAACACTATTGCAACAGTTGGAAAATATTACAATAATGTTGCGACTGTTGGTACCTATCACAATGCTATCGCAACACTTGACAACTATCACAACAATGTTGCAACTGTTGACAGCTATCATCGCAACAGTTGGAAAATATTACTATAATGTTGCAACAGTTTACAGCTATCACAACACTGAGGCAATACAATGGCAATACCTAAAACTATTTAACATAATTATTATACCATGACACATATGGCTGGTTATCCCCCCTAGCTAATTGTACGACTGTCAGATGTAGGAGACAGGGTCATGGGTGTTGAGGATATGACTGATAATTGATCCCGGTACAACTGACTGTGGTGTTAGCCTGGTGCTGGTGCCATCATCTTGATAGTGTAGAGGGGAACGTTATCTTGGTGTGCAGGTCAATGTTTGATAGAGAAATAATTTCTGGTATTTATGAGCTGATAACAGCACAAATGTGTTTGATGGATGCAGTGAAAAAATATATTCAGAGACGCACAATGATAATCACTGTAAAGAGTCTTTTTCAAGAAATGTAAATGTCATATTATCAAAGTAATTAGATCGTACATTACACACCCAATTCAGTAACTTAGATATTCCGTTTTTGTTAACAGGGTGGTTGGGTAGCCTTGTGGTCAAAGCATTCACGCTAAAGATTCGGGTTTGATTCCTCCCACGAGTACAATGTGGAAAGCCCATTTCTGCAATGATATTCCTGGAATATTTGTATTTGTGCATGTCCTGACAGGTTTTAAACTGACTAAAACATCTTATTCAGAATAACTGTTTTTCAAATCAAATCAAATCAAATATATTTATTGTGCAAACGTTCCATACAGAAACAGTGACAATATTCTATAAACTATTAGGATCTTGGCTGTCATGACCTTGAGTTGTCATGCATTTTTATTACCTATCGATGGATATGGTATAATCTTGTTTTGAGTTTAGAATGACCTACCATTTTTCAGTAACATGACTAAGAGCTTCTTCCCTTGTTTCAGGTGGTGAAGGCGTACGACCATGGAGATCAAGAAGCAGTAGCCATAAAAATAATCAAGAACAAGAAACCGTTCCTGAACCAAGCCCAGATAGAAGTGAAACTCCTGGAGCTGATGAACAAGCATGATGCTGAAAACAAATACTATATAGGTCAGTATTTGGAGGAAAACAAATACTATATAGGTCAGTATTTGGAGGATCACAACCTCCGGAACAGGGCCTAGATTTACGAAACTCTCTTAGCATGATGCTGAAAACAAATACTATATAGGTCAGTATTTGGAGGATCACAAATACTATATAGGTCAGTATTTGGAGGATCACAACCTCCGGAACAGGGCCTAGATTTACGAAACTCTCTTAGCATGATGCTGAAAACAAATACTATATAGGTCAGTATTTGGATCACAAATACTATATAGGTCAGTATTTGAGGATCACAACCTCCGGTCACAGGGCCAGGGCCTAGATTTCACTTAAACTCTCTTAGCATGATGCTGAAAACAAATACTATATAGGTCAGTATTTGGAGGATCACAAATACTATATAGGTCAGTATTTGGAGGATCACAACCTCCGGAACAGGGCCTAGATTTACGAAACTCTCTTAGCATGATGCTGAAAACAAATACTATATAGGTCAGTATTTGGAGGAAAACAAATACTATATAGGTCAGTATTTGGAGGATCACAACCTCCGGAACAGGGCCTAGATTTACGAAACTCTCTTAGCATGATGCTGAAAACAAATACTATATAGGTCAGTATTTGGAGGATCACAACCTCCGGAACAGGGCCTAGATTTACGAAACTCTCTTAGCATGATGCTGAAAACAAATACTATATAGGTCAGTATTTGGAGGAAAACAAATACTATATAGGTCAGTATTTGGAGGATCACAACCTCCGGAACAGGGCCTAGATTTACGAAACTCTCTTAGCATGATGCTGAAAACAAATACTATATAGGTCAGTATTTGGAGGATCACAACCTCCGGAACAGGGCCTAGATTTACGAAACTCTCTTAGCATGATGCTGAAAACAAATACTATATAGGTCAGTATTTGGAGGATCACAACCTCCGGAACAGGGCCTAGATTTACGAAACTCTCTTAGCATGATGCTGAAAACAAATACTATATAGGTCAGTATTTGGAGGAAAACAAATACTATATAGGTCAGTATTTGGAGGATCACAACCTCCGGAACAGGGCCTAGATTTCTTTAAACTCTCTTAGCATGATGCTGAAAACAAATACTATATAGGTCAGTATTTGGAGGATCACAACCTCCGGAACAGGGCCTAGATTTACGAAACTCTCTTAGCATGATGCTGAAAACAAATACTATATAGGTCAGTATTTGGAGGATCACAACCTCCGGAACAGGGCCTAGATTTACGAAACTCTCTTAGCATGATGCTGAAAACAAATACTATATAGGTCAGTATTTGGAGGAAAACAAATACTATATAGGTCAGTATTTGGAGGATCACAACCTCCGGACCAAGGGCCTAGATTTACGAAACTCTCTTAGCATGATGCTGAAAACAAATACTATATAGGTCAGTATTTGGAGGATCACAACCTCCGGACCAAGGGCCTAGATTTACGAAACTCTCTTAGCATGATGCTGAAAACAAATACTATATAGGTCAGTATTTGGAGGATCACAACCTCCGGAACAGGGCCTAGATTTTCGAAACTCTCTTAGCACTAAGATAGTCGTAAGTGCCATACATTAATATTAACTTACGACTATCTTAGCGATAAGAGAGCTTCGAAAATCTAGGCCCAGGTCCTCATGCTGCTTGTTGTGGGATCTGCTCACTATTATGTGTGAAAAAATTAGTTCATATATCGTATTCTCAATTGTGAATCCTACCCATGAAGATTTGACTTAGAATTGGTCTTCAGCAACCTATGCTTATTGTAAGGGCACTCAACAGGATCGGGTGGTCAAGCTCACTGACTTGGTTGACACACGTCATCGTATCCCAATTGTGTAGATCAATGCACATGATGTAGATCACTGGATTGTTTGGTCCAGACTAGATTATTTACAGGCTGCCACATATAGCTTTAATGTTGCTGAGTGCGGCGTTAAACAACAAACAAATGATACAATCCTGAAATATTGCAGGATCGACCCTTCCTTAGTGCTGGAAGGACACACTGTTTTATCAAAGATCTGAGTTACAGTACAGTTGATCATAACAAGCACCTGTTGGCCTTGATTATTGCCTTGTCCTGAACTCATTGATTCCACTGTTAACCTTGTTAATCTCAGCATGCTCCTGTGCCAGTCATCATTAGATGAAGATCAGTGGTCAGGCAAACAGTATTACTTACTGATGAAAAATAATGATTTAGGCTCATATACCATCAGGTGATTTATTGGAGATTCCTGGAATATTGTCTGGAATAAAACCAGAGATTTTGGACCCATGTCATCATTCCAAATGTGATTTTGATGAAATTATACAAATTGTTATCGAGTGAAATATGTTCTGAGTTTTAGAATTTACTGGTGTACACATACAGTTTCAAAACTGCTGTTTTCGCCATCAAATACCACTTGCTGTTTATTTATTCCAACAGAACAGTGCAAATAATTAATACCAGTTGTTGAACTTTGCATTGTGCATTGTCACAAGTACACCCAATTAATCATTCGTCAATAAGCTGTTATTTCCGCTTGTTAGGGGTGGGTTTACATAAGGAGTTCTGGTGATAAAGTACAATGCAAAAGATGATATATCTTCATCCAAATAAATACATAGTGACTGGTAATTTATATGTGGGGTGGGGTCAATGAATAAATGACAGAAAAAAGATAAGGGCAGGGTGGGGTGTTGTATTTCTCACAGTTGGGGTTGAGGGCTTTGTGAAATGGGAGCTCAGTTTTTGTACAGGTTATTTTTTCCAAAAACATGTAAATATGTTTGTATGTAACTTGTGCCATCATTACACGGTTAGACAGTACTTGTATTCGGGATGGGGATGAGGAGAAAGCTCATTGGATATTCAGACTTACCATCCAGTGCGTGATAACTGCCGTATCAATCACTGTGTGCCTGCCCTGATTACATGCCAGGTTCAATGACCCTCTGTGTTATAATAAACATCTGCATTATATGTAAACATCACTATATTAATGGGAGTGGTGGGGTAGCCTAGTGGTTAAAGCGTTCACTCGTCACGCTGAAGACCTGGGTTCGATTCCCCACATGGGTACAATGTGTGAAGCCCATTTCTGGTGTCCCTTGCTGTTATTTTGCTAAAAGCGGCATAAAACCATACATACTCGCTCACTATCTCTACATATATTTCTGAATTATAAATACATGTATATATTAACCATTTCTGGTACCAATAATGTCTGAAACAAATGTCCCACATGGGTACAATGTGTGAAGCCCATTTCTGGTGTCCCCCCGCCGTGATATTGCTGGAATAATGTAAAAAGCGGCGTAAAACCATACTCACTCACTCACTCACTCACTGAAACAAATGTATTGTGTCGACACAACATGTCCACTTGTGCTCTGAGAGCAACTTTGACATAACCTTCGCAGCGTCGCGTCCTCCGTGTTTGAGGTATCTAAATATGGCATTGGACTCAGTACATCTTCCACGAGCCGTCTTCAGTTGGTGCCTTGTCTGCTGGCATTGCCGCCGCTGACGCAACCTGTTGACGCTGGCTAATATCAAACAGCAGGTTATAGGGAGGCGACTGTCCAAGTGCAACTAGTAGAGTCTCCTCGCAATTTCATGACAAAGTCCTTGTGTGCGCGCGAAATTCCACACATCTTTTTTTTTGCATCCAGTATGTGTTTATTCTTGCATTCTTTCCCAGGGAAAACTGAAGTACAAATAGGTGAAAATTTACTTTTAAACATATCTCTCGGTGTCTGTGTGTGCCGTAGATGGAATTAGAATCTGTGATTATAATCAAATGTACATGGCCGTCTTTGTGGACGGCCACACACGGTCTGAAGGTCAAGGTCAGTGACATTGGCAAATCAACACAGAACCAGCTCATTTGCATAGGCCACAATACAGTGATTATTAGATTGTTCTCTAATTTAAAAAAAAAATTAGTATGAGAGATATTGTTTACTTTTATATATCATTGAAAGACAAAATGTTCGAAGCATATTTACTGATTCAACTGAAAAAAATGAATGTTTAATTACTTAATGTATTTATTCTTCAAAGTTCTTTTATTCAGATCGTAAAAATTTACAATGTGATAAGAAAATTTTATCCCGTCTTTATACTTTTGAAATATATTTTAAAAGAAAACAAAAGCATACACATGTGTAAACCACCTCCATTGAGTAACCGGAGTTATATTTTCTCAATAACTAAAATATCTGGAATATGTAATTTTGACTAATTCTTGTCATCTTTTCTGTTTCAGTGAGGTTGAAGAGGCATTTCATGTTTCGGAATCATCTCTGCTTGGTGTTTGAACTATTATCGTACAACTTGTACGACTTGTTACGTAACACAAACTTTAGAGGTGTGTCGTTAAATTTGACTCGAAAATTTGCTCAGCAGTTGTGCACGGCCTTGTTATTTTTGGCCACTCCTGAGCTGAATATTATTCACTGCGACTTAAAACCAGAGAATATTTTATTGTGTAACCCCAAGAGGAGTGCAATCAAAATAGTGGATTTTGGGAGCTCCTGTCAGCTCGGGCAGAGGGTGAGTATTGTTTCTTGTCTTGTATTGAGAAATTATTATTATATCTACTTCTTGTCTAAACAAACCCGTAAAGATCCAGTTTAGAATTGGTTTTCAGCAACCCATGCTTGTCGTAAAAGGTGACGAACGGGATCGGGTGGTCAGGCTCGCTGACTTAGTTGTCACATGTTATCGTATCCCAGTTGCGTAGATCGATGCTCTTGCTGTTGATCTCTTGATTGATAGTCCAGACTTGATTATATACAGACCGCCACCACATAACGGAAATATTGCTGAGCGTGGCATAAAACCAGAAACAATCGAAATCTTGCCTAAACAAATTTTACTGAAACCTGGTAGGCAATATTAGCAGTAGCCATCTAAGGCAGTGTGTGGTATGGTAACCATGTGGTTAGCTTGACAGTGTTGACAACAAGGTTTGTTCATTCTTGACACGCCTAATACCTGGGTTCTGTTCTCCACATAGGTTCAATGCTGAAAGCCCATTTCTGGTGTCTTTCTCCATGCTGTTGCAGGAATTTTGCTGAAAACGGTGTAAAACCAAACTCTCTTATTCAGCTAGTCCACAGTTTGATAATATACAGAAAACCTTGTGTGGAATATTACAACTGCATTATATCCGTCAGAATGCCTGTCAATTGTCTAAGGCCATCTGGGGCGGTGGGGTAGCCTAATGGTTAAAGCTGTTCTCCACATCGCGTTCAATCGAAGACCTATTTCAATCCCCACATGGGTACAATGTGTGAAGCCCATGTCTGGTGTCCCCCGTCGTGATGTTGCTGGAATATTGCTAAAAGCGTCGTAAAACCAAACTCAGTCAGTCAGTCTAAGGCCATCTCAAGACTCTTTAGGGGGCAGTAAGATGGCCTAGTGGTTAAGCATTCACTCGACACGTGAAAGAACTGGTTCGATTCTCCACATGGGTACAATGTATGAGGCCCATTTCTGGTGTCCCTCACCATGATAATGCTGGAATATTGCTAAAAGCAGCATAAAACCAAACTCACACACTCACTCAGGTTTTTTTTCACTTTAGTTATGATGTACGATATGAACCGATGTTTGTTTTTTGCAGATATACCAGTACATCCAGAGTCGGTTCTACAGGTCTCCAGAAGTGTTGTTAGGGATTCCATACGACCTGGCTATAGACATGTGGAGTTTAGGATGTATCCTGGTCGAAATGCACACGGGAGAACCGCTCTTTGCCGGATCAAATGAGGTACGTTCCCCACAAACTAGCAGTCTTCTTACAAAATTGGGGCGGTGGGGTAGCCTAATGGTTAAAGTGTTGGCTCGTCACGCCGAAGACCCAGGTTCGAATCCCCACATGGGTACAATGTGTGAAGCCCATATCGGGTGTCCCCTGCCGTGATGTTGCTGGAATATTGCTAAAAGTGGCGTAAAACCAAACTCAGTCAGTCAGTCAGTCAAAATTGTAGTGATAGACTTGAACTCGTATTTTACACTTGTCTGCTGGCCTGTGACTACTAAATTATGTTTTGGACAAGTTAAAATTTAGTGATGGTGTTCATCAATAGCTAGTCAACTTACTTCAGAATAGTGACCCATGAAGATCCGGGTTAGAACTGATCTTCAGTAACCCATGCTTGTCTTAAGACTAATGTCGTCACGATATGGCTGAAATATTGCTGATGTGATGTTAAATCTTAACTCACTCACTCACTTAAGACTAATGAGATCGGGTGGTCAAGATCGCTGACTTGGTTGACACATGTCATCACATCCCAATTGCGTAGATCGATGCTCGTGCTGTTGATCACAGGATTGTCTGGTCTATACTCGATTATTTACAGACTGCTGCTATATAGCTGGAATATTGCTGAGTGCGGCATGAAACTAAACTCACTCACACACACGCTCACTGATATCTGAGTTGAATTCCCGTCTTGTGTTGTTGCAGTTTGACCAGATGATGAAGATCGTGGAGGTTCTCGGGATGCCCCCTAAACACATCCTGGACCAAGCACCAAAGGCTCGCAAGTACTTTGACCAGCAGCCTGATGGTACATACGCCTGTAAGAGGCCAAAGGATAATAAAAAGGTAGGACCACTTGGACACTTCTTCCTCATCGCCCTCCATGTTCGAGATGGAAAGGGTTTCATTGCAAATAAAACAGAAAATTACCTTATTTATGACAGTCGTGCAACTGAAAAAGTTTTTTAAACTGTAATAAATGGAACTCGATCAAATCAGTCAGTTTACCAAGCTGCAAAAGTGCTGATCTTTTATAAGATGCTGTTTCACTCTCAATGGGGATTTAGGGTTAGAATTGTTGACATTACTTAACACTGAAATATTGTAATATAGCAAGCAAGTGAAGTCGGGAATTTCCCGTGGATTTTTCTTTTGATCTACTCATCTGTTCGTTTTGTGAAATAACAAGGTTCACTCTTTAATTGTCTACCATTTTGTTTAGTAATTGTGTAATTCAAATTAAGTTGTTCATAAATTGCTGAAAGGCAGCAAATATATTTGTCATTCCAATATCCTTGAATATAGGAAAGCATCCTGAGAAAGACCTTGTATTTGGTGACTGAAAACTTTGAGCTATGAATAACAGAAAAATCAACTGAAGTGATGCAAAGATCCAAGGGTTGACTTATGAGCTGACAGTCAATCAATCAGTCAATCAATCGGTCAATCCATCTTGTCTGTTCCAGTACAAGCAGGCAGGAACCAGGAAACTCCATGATATTATTGGTGCAGAGACTGGAGGTCCAGGCGGTCGAAGGGCAGGCGAGCCGGGCCACACGGTGGCAGACTACCTCAAGTTCAAGGACTTGATTCTAAGAATGTTGGACTATGACCCGAAAACTCGCATCACACCGTACTACGGGCTCCAGCACAATTTCTTCAAGAAGACGACAGACGAAAGTACGAACACGTCAAATAGCACTTCGACTAGCCCTGCGATGGAACAGCAGTGTGGGCCTGCAGGTAGACCGGTCCTTTAGACGCTACGTGTCACGTAACATAGACCATAGGGCCCTTCGCCAACCACAGTCACAACAGCCGATTTTAGCGGGATGACGTTCATACACCACAAACATACTCACTCTGCTTGAATCACCAACACAGTGTCGCTGTCAAATCATTCCAAAATTTAAATAAATCATTTAAAATAAATCATTTAAATTTTTAAAAAAATTTACTATTATTTTTCATAAAATATTTTTTACAGTTGCCTTAAACTGACATGTTCATCTAACCATTTATATATTTATTTATATTTATATATATATATTTATTGTTTTTTTAGTCTGTTCTCCGAATATCTAGTCTTCCTAACTGATAGATATTCTTAACTGGCACACTGTACGAGCCAGTTGAAAGGCAGTGTTTTAAATACAGATTTATGTTAACAGTTATGTCACAATCACAGTCCTTGCTCTTCCCAGCACCTCCCACTTAGGCCCTTGCTCTTCCAAGCACCACCCACAGAGCCTTTGCTCTTCCAAGCATCTCCCACTTAGACCCTTGCTTTTCCCAAGACACGCACTTACCCCTTGCCATTCTGAGCAGACACACTTACCCCTTGCTATTCCCAGCACCTCCCACTTATCCCTTGCTATTCCCAGCACCTCCCACTTACCCACCTGCTCCACCCCACCCCAACATTCAATTAACCATAAGCTGAAGAGAGGGTGACTTCATCCAATATCACTCTGTCTTCATCTTCATAACAAACATGTGTCCTGATCCAAAACATTGACCTCACCCCCTGCCCATTTGCATTGCATCTACCATCTGGACGCACACACTCCTGTCAATAATAGACGATACATGAACACGCCATCTTCCAAACAACCCGAGGAAGAACTCTTCTCCTTCCCCCATCTCCAAACAGTGTAATAGAGATAGCCGTCGTGGTTGTAGTATGTTGTTGTTGTTGTCAAAGACCCCCCTTAAAGATGTTTTAGCTTTGGGGGTTCCTTAGCTTTTGACAATTTTGGGAAGTAAAGACCACATTCTTACCCATAAAAGAGTAAATTTCAATTTCATTGATTACTTAAAATTAACCTTTTTACCCATTTAAAAAACAAATGAAAATGCAGCAATAACATCAACTAAAAAACACAAGATATATTCTATGAGAACAGGGCTTAAAAGAACTGTAGACCTGCAATGAGGGCAGAACATGGCTATACACATCATACATTCTTTCTCCGCTCACCTCCCCTCATTTCCCTCATGCCAGTGATGCAGGTGTGGTTGCCCCCGGCAACAGAGGTGCGACAAACACTCGCACACACGCACGTACATGATTCTCCCTGGATACTGCAGCTTACGTCACCATCTCCATCGTTTTCTATTACAATCAATAAACGTCAGCCCCCAACAGGCCAGGTCCTTTATGCATGCAGTCTATAAATAGACCATGCTGGCTTCAAGCCTTGCTATGCACATGAGCTAAAAATAGAGGTACATTAAGGCAGTCCATGGAATGCGTGCAGAGAATATGAGGCAGGCTGTTTTTGTATTTTTTCAAAAGCTGGTTTATATACACACAGAAACAGACTTTCTGTAGTGGGTTTTCAGTTTTTGGTGAGGTCATTGATATATGCATTTTTTTTTTCCCTTCATCTAACATTCTTCATCTCTTCATCTTGCATTTACTCAACAGATATTTTTTTGGCTTAAATTGACTCAAGTAATATCAACTGATCGAATTAATTTCTGTCCATGCAGATAAGGGATTATCTCAGCAGATTTTCCCACCCATTTACTGTCATAAAGGGGATGGTTGGGGGGTGGGGATTTTTTTCTTTGTCCCACATTTTTCTTTTTTCCTTTTTGTGTGTGTGACACACACAGCTTGTCCACAGATACTTGCGTGATTTTGCAGCTTTCAGTATGTTGATATTGCTCATATCAGTTGTTGGGTTACATCTTTCTCCTCGCACATATCAGTTGTTGGGTTACATCTTTCTCCTCGCAGGGATTTAGAGGTAGAATTATACCCCAGAACCCCATGTGTGTCTTCCAGCATTGCTCCCTCCCAAACTTGTGCTTGTGTTCAGTGGCAGGTTAGATCCCCCGTGCAACATCCTTGTGTATCTAGTGACATTTTAAGGCAGCATTGGTCCCCATTATCTCACGTTTGTCTCTCTGTCTGAGATTTCAAAGCAGTACTAGTATCAGAACCTCATGTGTGTCGTCCCTATGAGATTTCAAGGCAGCATTGGTCTCCAGAACTTCATGCTTGTGTTCCATTTGCAATTGAGTGGCAGGCTAGATCCCCCGTGCAACATCCTTGTGTATCTAGTGACATTTCAAGGCAACATTGGTCCCCATTATCTCACGCTTGTCTCCCTCTCTGAGATTTGAAGCGGTGCTAGTCTCAAGAACATCATGCTTGTCTCTCTCTCTGAGATTTGAAGCGGTGCTAGTCTCAAGAACATCATGCTTGTCTCCCTCTCTGAGATTTGAAGCGGTGCTAGTCTCAAGAACATCATGCTTGTCTCCCTCTCTGAGATTTGAAGCAGTGCTAGTCTCAAGAACATCATGCTTGTCTCCCTCTCTGAGATTTGAAGCAGTGCTAGTCTCAAGAACATCATGCTTGTCTCCCTTTCTGAGATTTGAAGCAGTGCTAGTCTCAAGAACATCATGTGTGTGTTCCATTTAGGCTATGTTCCCTGAGGTTCACCTTTCTCTCCCAGGAGATCGTAACATCACTGAAACAAAGCTTATCCAACAATAAATTTTAGCTCCTTTCATTCCCTCCCTCCATTCCTCCCCACTCACTGGGGGCGGTGGGGTAGCCTAGTGGTTAAAGCGTTCGCCCGTCATGCCGAAGACCCGGTTCAATTCCCCACATGGGTACAGTGTGTGAAGCCCATTTCTGGTGTCCCCTGCTGTGATATTGCTGAAAGCGGCATAAAACTAAGCTCGCTCACTCACTCACTCACTCTCCGTAGAGATAGTAGCATCACTGAAACGAAGCTGATACAACTCCTTTCTTCCGTCCATTGCTCCTCACTCACTAGGCAGAACAGATACCATGTAGCTATGTGTAACAGGTTGCTTCTCTTGTTGACAAAGATCCCAAATACCCTGTGTTTTCAGGGTAGAAGGGGTTAGGGCACCCTGTGTCAGAGATGCATCCCTTTGGCATGTACCTGTGAAGATCTGGGTTAGAATTTGTCTTCAGGAACCCATGCTTGTCGTAAGATGCGACTAACGGGATCGGGTGGTCAGGCTCGCTGACTTGGTTGACACGTCATCGTATCCCAATTGCGTAGATTGATGCTCATGATGGTGATCACTGGATTGTCTGGTCCAGATTACATGATCAGCTCATTTTCAAACGTCACTGGTCATCGTATCCCAATTGTGTAGATCATGGTCATGCCTGTTGATCATTGGATTGTCTGGTCCAGACTCGATTATTTACAGATTTTCCGCCATATAGCTGGAATTTTGTGGCGTTAAGTAACGACCAACCAACCCTTGGGCATGTAGGAAAGTATTGCGAGATTGAATTCCGGTTCACCCCAATTCTGTCATTGGTTTGTCAGCACTGAAGCCATGCTCAAGTGAACTGAGTGAGTTAAGTTGGACACTGCTTTTAGCAATATTCCAGCAACATCACGGCAGGGGACACCAGAAATAGGATTCCCCATGCTCCTGAGTTTCACCAAGGTGGTGAACATCGAAAACCTGCATCTTTTCAGGGTTTTCTCACAGTGATTTACACGGATGAGAATTTTTGGACTTTCATAAGGCCAAAGGTCATTTTGTGAATCGTCTAAATTCGATAGCTGCTATCCCTCAGGCTAGTTTTCAGAGTTTTTCTCAAAACTTCATTCTCATCCCTGGATTTAACTGTTCAGATCGGCATGAAACCCAACTCACTCACTCACTCACTTTGATGTTAAACGAAAGGCATTCTGAGGGCAAGTGAAAGGGCTTTCCTTTCATGCACCGTATATGATAGGCGATAAGCTGAATTTTGTCGAAAGCATTCTGTAGAAAGGGATTGGCTTATCTGCAGGTTACATTTTTATCAGACTTTTTCTTCTGGCTGTTAGAAAACCATTCATAACAACCATTGAGGTGGTAAAAATTTCAGGTTAATTCGTATTCTTGTAGGAACTAGAAGATGTGTTTGCTGTGTCACTGTAGTGACAAGGATAGTGTTCAGGCTATCGACCTCTTGTTGGCAGCTGTAAATAATGTTTGTCTTTCATCTGCATCATAATTGCTCATAGGCTGGTAGGGTAGCCTGGTGGTAAAAGCATTCGCTCGTCATGACAAAGTCCCGGGTTCGATTCCCTATATGGTTACAACATGTGAAGCCCATTTCTGGTGTCCCCCGTCATGATATTGCTGGAATATTGCTAAAAGCGGCATAAAACCATACTCACTCACTCACTCTAACAGCAAATACTATAGTAAAGTCTGAAGTTATGGAATATCGTTGTGACAGACATGTGATTATGTTACTGTTGTAACGGACATGTGAATATCGTTGTGACAGACGTGAATATAATACTGTTGTGACAGACATGTATAAGTTATCACGCAAGTGTGTTTTTGGATGGTTAATATCCTGCATTAGGAATAAACATTGTATTTAGCGAGCCTTCTTGGATCAAAGGACTGACAGTACCGTAATCATGGCCGTCAATCCGGACACAACGCCATGTTTGTTTACACTGTGAAAGTAAAATTTGCATATGACCTTTCTAATTTGTGAATATCGTAACAGATGTGAATGCATTACTTTTGTGACAGACATGTGAATACAGTTGACAGTCATGGCCTTGTGGACAGTTATGTGAATACAGTTGTCATGTGAATAGTGACAGTTATGTGAATACAGTTGTCATGTGAATAGTGACAGTTATGTGAATACAGTTGTCATGTGAATAGTGACCGTTATGTGAATACAGTTGTCATGTGAATAGTGACAGTTATGTGAATACAGTTGTCATGTTAATAGTGAGTTATGTGAATAGTGACAGTTATGTGAATACAGTTGTCATGTGAATAGTGACAGTTATGTTAATACAGTTGTCATGTGAATAGTGACAGTTATGTGAATACAGTTGACTGATGTGTAAATACAGTTTCCTACAGTGTCTGCAATCACAACACTAATACTTAAATCTCCCCTCCCTACCCTACCCATCAGGCCACGCCCACCTGCCACGCCCACTACAAACAGTGTTGTGTGATTCTGGTTGGCATGTCCTCTACAAACATCTTCCTCTGGCTCTTCCTGTTTATGTCAAAATTGAATAATGTTTGGTTCGAGGCTGAACAGCTAACACAACCAATATGAAATTCTGAATTTTTCTAAAACACCTTTGGTCAATTGATGCATTTTTTAAGAACATCTGGTATTTGCTTTTGAGAAAATGAAAGGATAAATGTTTACAACTGAAATTTGGCTGATGATTTTCACACCACATGGTTTTCTAAGGCTAGCTAGTATACGGTTTGAAGAATGGGAGGGTGGTCCCCTACACCACTAAAATAGGGTACTTGTTGGTCCCTGCCTGGCTCTCGGCATTAATGGGTACAACAAGGGGCAAGACTACAGAATACCGGATACCTTCCGCCATCTTGGAAAGCTTATTTTAGAACTGCGCACAAAATGTGCGCAACGGAGTTCCTTAGTAACGGCGTTTTGTTTATGTTGCATACTCGACATTACGAGCATCAGGGTTTAGGGTTAGGGTTTAGGGTTTAGGGTTAGATTAGACATTAGATATGATGCTTACCTTCACAGAACGAAATCGTCAGCACTGTCGTTAGCATCGGGTTGTAGGGAAGCGAAGCTCCAACTCCCAGAATTCCGTAGGTCCGTTTTTTTCAAAGGCGCATATATTTTTTATTTGTGATAACTTACCTTTCATTTTAAAAATCGTTGGTTAGTTTTACTAACCGGAAGTCTTCTCAATCAATCCGATTTCAATGGTTATTTTTCATTTTAATGCTCGCTTATTGTTTCGAATAATATAGCTCGTGCTTCCCTATAATAGGAAGTGCGCGTGCTAACAAAGAATATGGTTGGTAGGTATCCGGTATTCTGTAGGTGTACCCAACAAGGACTGGTCGGCTTGGAGTCAGTATAATGTGTCTGAGTGGGGTATTCATGCTTAACTGCGGCATGGTATCTCAGTGAGCTAGCACTATAAAACCAGCTTCAGTCTGGGCTAGTACAAGCAGCCGCACATACACAAACACACGCATGCACGTCGTCATATGAGCGAAATATTCTCAAGCACGACGTTAAACCCAATTTCACCTCACCTCTTCCCAGCCCAAGGGACACAACTCTGCACATAATATTTCAGTGCCTTAAACACTAGGGCTCCCCCACTAACATTGTAGAACATGTCAATTTACGGTTTATGTATTGTTGTTATTTTTATATATATTTTTTGGCGTTTTGGGTATTTTAATAAATTTATACATTTGTGCTCTCATAGAAAGTAATATTAAGCAGTAAGGCATTTGTTTTTGTTTTTGCTCAAGTTCCCAAATTTACAAGGTGTTTGAGAAAGACATGTGGTGTATGAAGCGTGTTGGCTGTAGGCTAGGAACCTAGCGGTTATCAAGCTCATTTTAGAGCTTGTGTGTTTTAATCGGTTATTTGAGAAAATTCAAATTTAATTCAAATTCCAGCCTGTTTTCATCGCAGGATTAGAATTATAGTTTCTGCATGTGCTTCTCTTTCAGCTGAAACGGTTATTTAAAATTAATTTGAAGACTGGTGTCACAAATGCAGCTTTAATATCTGATCAAGTCCAAGAAGAATATGTTCAATACAATGAGTCGTTTCCTTCAGTGAGTGACCAGTGTTTCTGCTGACTGTATCAAAACATGCCTCATGTTATTTGTAAATAGAACTTTTACCTTTAGTCAGCAATTTTTTAGGAGCTGTTTTGTAACCGGTGAAAATTTATATTCCAATAATTCATGCAGGACAAATCAATAAATTCATTAAATACAACTCTAATCAATAGTACAACACAAAACATTGACTTCAACACAAAATGTAGTAAATAATCAATAATAACAATTTATTAAATGCAATATTCATCAACACATATCAAGATCAGTATAGATCATTAGAACACTAATCAATAAGAACAGTACAGATCCTTAGAACACCAATCAATAAGAACAGTACAGATCCTTAGAACACCAATCAATAAGAACAGTACAGATCATTAGAACACCAATCAATAAGAACAGTACAGATCCTTAGAACGCCAATCAATAAGAACAGTACAGATCATTAGAACACCAGTCAATAAGAACAGTACAGATCATTAGAACACCAATCAATAAGAACAGTACAGATCATTAGAACACCAATCAGTAAGAACAGTACAGATCATTTTAGCGCTAAGTGCTACATCTTATTTAATCCTTTCTTGTGAAATATAATAATCAGATTGACCCGTGAAGGTCCCGGTTAAAATATGGATCGTCAGTAACCCATGCTTGTTGTAAGAGGCGACTAATGGGATCGGGTGGTCACACTTGCTGGCATGGTTGACACATGTCATCGGTTCCGAATTGCACAGATCGATGCTCATGCTGTTGATCACTGGATTGTCTGGTCCAGACTCGATTATTTACAGACTGCTGCCATATAGCTGGAATATTGCTGAGTGCGGCGTAAAACTAAACTCACTCACTCACTAATAATCAGATTGATAATCAGAGCTCAGTAATTGATCAATAATCGAATAATTGTTATCGTAAATCCCAACACAACATTTGTGTGAGCAATAACATGACACACTCATAGCATTAACCACTAGGCTACACAACCGCACATAACAATACAAAATATACTTTTTAAAGTTTAATTTAATGTTTCATTTTTAATAATTGTCGATTAATCTCCCAAGTCCATCAATAATCGCTGTTTCAATCAGTCACTCCAGCACTACTAAGAGAGGGTATTGAGCCGCGTTTGTGACGCCCTGTTCAGATTTGTTGTTTGTCACCCGAACTGTCTGCAGTTGCATTTCTTTCTGTTGATCATTTCATCAAACACGTCCAGTATTCCGTTCTCATCATTTCTATGTATTCATTTAAGTTGTAGTTTTTTCTGTAACACATTTCATTCTGATGTCTTATTACGTTAATTCCTTCGTAGAACCTTTAAACCAAATTCTCTGACAATTATAACAAAATGATAATTTATTCTAACAAATTTTACGACCTTGACTTTTGAATATTGTTTGGTTTATCTGGCCTGGTGAAAACTATTGAAAATATTCTTTCAGGAAAATAGAAGAAAATGACAAAGTAATGGCAATCATGATCTGATATTGTTATGGTGAGTTGATAGCAAGTTAGAGAATTTTAAGTCACTCCTTCTCCTTCCTGCTTCATGCTTATGTTCTGTTGCCGCCTCAGTCTTCTCTTTACCTTCATACAAGTTCCTGATAAATAGACCATAAATTGATATAGTCATCGAAATCATTTTCAAAATCTACACAACACTTTCATTTGACCCTATATTTGAGTGTTGTCCGTTTTGATATGTTCCGTCTAAGTTACGTGAACCGTTTATAACAAATTGTAACAAATTTGACAAATTAATAAATTCTGTGCCCTTTTGGGTGAATTCTGGATAATGACCAGAAAGTAATATTAATGTTTGAAGCGAGATAACCCATATTCTGACATGTAATTTTGATTGAAAAATTGAAATCCAAAATGTGGTCTAATTTTTATGTGATTTATTTGGATTCATATTTGTTAATGTGAGTATTTTGGGGCCTAAATTATCATTTTCCAAAACATGTTTTGGTTAATATCATACGTAGGCTCCTGTGTTTAGAAATGAAACTGTTTATCAGGAACTATTCTCATTGTTGTGCCGTTCAGTTTGTTGTGTGTTCAGCATCATTATCTAAAACATATTGTGTCTCCTTTCCAGTGAGTTTGAGCCAGTCAAGTGGTCGGGCGCGGTCTGACCCCACCCACCAACACCACCCACATCTACACATGCAGTCATCCCACTCAGCAGCTCACCACCAGGGGGCGCACACAGGAGGGGGAGGAGGAGGAGGCGGCGGCTACACCACTATGGATTGTGAGAGTCCTCACCACCGCCCAACCGTCGTCACGACAACCGCGCACCACGCTGCACACCATCACCCACTTGCACAGCAGCCAAGCTGGACCAGTGCGGAGGTATCCCAACTCCACGGTCGCCATAGCAATGGGTCGCATTCACATTCCCACTCGCATCAACGGCATCATCACCATTCACCCTCATCGTCGACATCAACCACGTCATTACATCAGTCTGGCCACTCAATCCTCAGTGGGACGACCGGAACGTCCCAGCAGAACCTAATGCTCGGAACACTCTACTCTGACCCGGAAAGAAGTAGCTTCAGTGCCCGCACGAATTTCGCCCCCAGCGGCGTGCCCCCACCGGAATTGTCTTCCGCTACAAACATGGCCGGTTCAGGTGAACTCGGCAATGTACATGCACTTCATCATCATCCGAGCGGGAACAGCCTAGAAGCCACCCAGCTGGGCTCAGTGAACATGCAGCTGGCCGGGTACCCATCATCCCCTGGACAATATGGACAGTTCGGTCAACAAGCAGGATGGCCTCCCTCGGCCTTCCCATACGCTTTAACATCCACAGCTGCTCCGACATCTTTGACCAGTCATGACCCCACAGGCCAACACAACCGGACTGGAGGTGCAGGGGAGAGGGGAGAAGAGTCCCCTATGGTTGGGGTGTGCGTTCAACAGAGCCCTGTGGCTAGCCATTAACGTCGGGCTAGGAACTAGGTGTGTTTGTATAGTGTGCCATCTGTAGGGGTGGGGTTCATTCCTCTCTGAGATCGTGGCTCAGAGCGGGCTCCACATATGGTGGTGCAGGGATGGAGAATCTTGCTGTTGCAAAAACTCCCACATTGAGTGACAGGGCTCCCTTATGTCTTGGATTATATACAGAGTGCCGTGGACTGACGCGATAAACCAAGGCTGTGGACTGATGCAGTGAACGAGTGCTGCGTAGGTCTTGATGGCAACACAGGAAATTCTGGAACAGTGCTTTCCTGGCTCTGGTAACAAGGGGGTAAACGCTCTCCCTGACAAGCTTATGCCTCTTGAACTGGATGTCCGACCAAGGACTCTCCACCAGACAGATCAGGCTTGGCTAGGTATCCGACCACGGACTGCAACAGACAGATCAGGCTTGACTGGATATCCGACCACGAACTCTCCAACAGACAGATCAGGCTTGACTGTATATCCAACCATGGACTCAAACAGAAAGATCAGGCTTGACTGTACGTCCGACTACGGACTCCCAACAGACAGATCAGGCTTGACTGTATATCCGACCACGGACTCCTACAGACAGTTCAGGCTTGACTGTATGTCCGACCACGGACTCTCCAACAGAAAGATCAGGCTTGACTGTATGTCCGACCACGGACTCTCCAACAGAAAGATCAGGCTTGACTGTATGTCCGACCATGGACTCCAACAGACAGATCAGGCTTGACTGTACGTCCGACTACGGACTCCCAACAGACAGTTCAGGCTTGACTGTATGTCCAACCATGGACACCAACAGATAGATCAGGCTTGACTGTACGTCCAACTGCGGACTCCAACAGACAGATCAGGCTTGACTATATATCCGACCATTGACTCTCCAACAGACAGTTCAGGCTTGACTATATATCCGACCACGGACTCCTACAGACAGTTCAGGCTTGACTGTATGTCCGACCATGGACTCCAACAGACAGATCAGGCTTGACTGTACGTCCGACTACGGACTCCAACAGACAGATCAGGCTTGACTGTATATCCGACTACGGACTCCTACAGAAAGATCAGGCTTGACTAGATATCTGACCACAGACAGATCAGGCTTGACTGTGTCCAACCACGGACTCTCCAACAGACAGATCAGGCTTGATTGGATATCCGACCATGGACTCCAGCAGACAGATCAGGCTTGTGCTAGCCTTGAACAAGAAAGAGATCCTATGACAGTGTTAGAAACCCCTTACATTACCAACGTGCACCAAGACGGGCAATACTGACATTTAGTGTGCCCATATGCAACAAACGTGTCAGCCAAAATTTTGTAGAATTGTTTCCGCAGATCGGCATCAGGCTTTCCAAGTGTGGTGTTATCCAGTGGTGAATCCCTCTCGGCAAGACATTCGCCACGATCGGAGAAAGGCTATGAATGAAAACAAACGTTTTCCCGACATACAGAAACGTGTCGGACCAATGCCAAATCAACTGATTCATTTATAAACTGGACACACTTTCATTGTATATAATCTTGTGTGGGCAGGATAATGACTGCTAAAGCACTTCCCACATACTTACCCTTCAGATTGCGACTACTCCCGAACAGCGTAAATAAGCTAGTCACCACTGGGTTCGGTTCCTCCAATATAATTGTATATAGTGTATATAAAACCGGGGCAACCTATCTTCCACGGAAGACAAAGGCCCTCGACAGCAAGTGTGGGTTTGAAGAATGACGGTCTTGGATGCCCGATCTTGAAAGACCGGCATTCGACTGCTTGTATATAATGCTTGATACAAACAGAATGTGTAAATTGGTCCTGAAGTATGCTATAATGTGACTATTTATTATTTAAGATTGAAAGGTTGGGCCCAAGTAGGTGCCAGGCAAACAATATATTGCGGTAGGCGGACATCGCTGTGATGATCTGCGCTCCGTGAAACCGTCAGTTCCAAGCTTGAGGTGAAATCTCTAATTTCTCCTGCTGTTTCTGTTGTCAAGGATTTGTCTTGGCTTGCCACGATTATGTTTTTCCGAAAATTTTGTAAATATTCCAATTTGTGTTTTTGAAATCCCCAAATCAGATTTGTTCCTTGCCTTTTTTTTAGAATAAATCTTAAAATTCACCTTGACATTTAATTTCTGTAAATGTAAAGAATGTGATGCGTCGCAGAAGTCTGAGTTAATACTTTTGTTCCATTGTACTTCAAGGCATCGAAACTGATGTATTCTTGCACAACCAACATCATACTTCAACTGAGCATAAGCTTTTCATAGCATTCACTAAATGAGAAAATAAATCAACAAATAATTGCTTCTTGCAATATCAGTTGTCTGTCTTAAGTCTCATGGTAGGAATCATCGTTTGTTCAAGCTTGGAGCTGAAGGTTTCCGTGATGCGGAGGTTAATGATGTCTGCCTACTACTTGTACATAGTCTCCCAATGTCGTAGCTAGGAACGTAGCCTCATACACAGCCACTCTGCAGCAGGTCAAGGTCATGCAACATCGTTGACAGACAAACATGACCATCAGCACGCATATCTGCATAAACATTGTCGCGTTACGCCAAGACCAGGGGCGGACGCCATCACAAGCTTGGACAGGATGCATACATCCATACATGTTACTCCATCCATTTTTTTAACTGTTAACTGGATACTTTCTTTATATTTGTGAAGATGAAAATTAAATCATGTTCAAGGGAAATGAAAAAGCAAATTTCAAAATTAAGACCATCCCTTATGCTGATCAAGAAGCACCACCTAAGAGAGGTAACTCTCCATGTAGAGTTGTTTCCCCTTGTTGGCTGCCCTTTCTGTTAATGGGCATGTCAATTTAATAATGGCTCTATATACCGGTACCTTGCTCTGTCAATAGTCACTGATGGTTCAGTGAAAAAGTGCTTGAAAGAGTTTTTTAACTTGTTGAAGAAGTGTGCTTTAAATTAATTACAGGGTGTGTTAACCCTCAAGGTCAGACCTTTGCATCAAGAAGAAACAGCATCAACTGAGTATCAGGATGGCGGTAGCCATAACATTATCATAACTTAAGTAGAACTTCAAGATGATTTCAAGAGTCCTAAAAATGCATTGCTATCAAGATGACCCATGTCTGTACTCGGTCCGAGACTTGTATGGATTGTACCACACCCGGCACATGTCATGTGACCTAGTTGCTGCTACTTGTAGCTTGACCTTCGCCCCCAATCTGTCCTTGACCTGTGACCCCAATCTGTCCTTGACCTATGACCCCAATCTGTCCTTTCTCACACCAATTGGGTGGGCGACTTTAAAATTTGATGACAGAATTTTTTCTCTGAAATGGGGCTTGGCTAGGGTGACCAATTCCGTTGTATCAAGAGGACTATCCTAAGGCATATATTCTGATGAAATAGAAGCATGACCATTTGTGATAAGTTTTTCTCGCATGCCTTGGTGGTTAGGTCTGCCAGATAATGAACATGCTCTCTTACATTTGGACAAATATAACTTGTTTTATGTTCATTTTTAACAAAAACATACAATAAAGCGTTCAAGAATTATTTAATTACTTAATTTTGGGTGTAATTTTTATTCTTTTGTCATTATTCAAATATGATCAATCTACCATTTTGGAACCATGGTTTAGGTTTTAGTCCCAATGATGCAATTCTTTTTATTCTCAGTGTATGTGCTAGACTCCGATCTATGGCATATTTCTTTCCTTGGCACTTCTTCCCATAGCAGTACAATGTGTGAAGCCCATTTCTGGTGTTCCCCAGCCGTGATATTGCTGGAATATTGCTAAAAGCGGCGTAAAACTAAACTCACTCACTCACACACTCTTCCCATAGCCACAACAGTAAGAATGCCGACATGTTCAATGTTTCCTGTTTCCATCATAATCGTTAACCTGAGACTTAAGAAGAAAATATCGGGCAAGTGGCTTATCCATGGATAAGACACACCATAGATTGGAGTCTTACATATACAAAGGGCATTATCTGTGTCTCCAGTTTCCTGGGTTTCGCAATGATTGTTTTGCCTTTGTTATCTTAAAATCCCCAGAAGACTGTATTTGCAGAGTCCGAGGTGAAGCAAGAATTCAAGGTGTTTCCTAGAGTGTGACTTATCCAAGAATATTTACTCCACTTTGTTTCAGTTACATTTTATTTCTGATATAACTGTCATGATAGGAAGGGCACATCCTGGCTTTAAATGACACGTGGGGTTAGGTTTATATACAAAATGGGGCACGTCAGTACAGTAAATGTCCTCATGTTCTGGTCTCCTTTGGGGCTCGTGTACAATTTTAAACCAGTTTCATTAAAGTATACTTATTTCCATGAATACAAAATTGAATTCCACAATTCTGTCAATTTATATTTTGCTTGCCTTAGCCCTTTTTACAAAGGTGAAGATTTTAGATTTTTAAATGGCAATGCAATTTTGAAATTGTTAAAATAACTTCAAATATCAGTTTTTAAGATTATAGTATTTCATATCCAAATATCCCTTTTGCAGTGAATTTTTTTAATTCATTTGATTAATCAGTAAATTTTTATATATATACTTTAAAGGATTCCGTTACTTCAGAGATATTTAAAATGTTCTCAAGCATTACTGGTTTGTGATTGGGACTTCCTGTATTGCATTTTGATGAGTAATCAAGGCCACTCAAGATACCCCAGCTTGTTATTGGACCAGAGTAGTGAAGCTCACTCATACATACAGGATGCTCTACCACAGACTGTTGAAAACAGACACCAGTAACTCCTGGCTCCACTCAAGAAGCCAGAACAACAGATTTAAGGATAAAATGAGTGCTCATGAAGAATTTTGTTTAAAATGTGACCCTGACTATATTTTCATTAGCAGAATGGTATTGTAATTAATATATGGAGAAAAAAACACCTGAAGGAAACTGGCATTATATTTTCAGAAAGTCAATAATCAGATTTCAGTGTATGTACTTGAGGTAGAATACACCTAGCCATGGTATATGACTCGTATCGTTCATATGGATGTTGAGGCAAGCTATTTGAACATGAATTGTCTTAGCTTAATATTGATCTACCACTTTAAGTCGAGGGGGGGGGCATATTTAATGAGGTTTGGAAGCTTAGTTTCTGTTCCATTGGGAAAGTAATGTTTTGTTAATTAATTCTCAATAAATTACCTGTGATGCAAAAAACTATTTTACAGATTAAAGTGATGATGGCCATTCACTGGCATCACATCACGATTGTCTTTGAAATTGGAAAAATATCTTTTTGGTATCGAAATGATATATCAGGATCATATTTCCATGAATCTTGATTAATGTGGAAAGAATTTGCTATAGTTCCGGACTAACTGTTCTTAATTTAGTGGGGGGAAATGTTTTCAGTCAAGTTGACCGAGGAATTGAAATTGTGATTTAGAAATATATATCGGTAGGGAGAATATGAACTAAAGGTATCCTATTTCTGGTTGTTTATATTTTGGTTTTAATCATTTTACCATAGACATTGTTTGAATTTTTATCTTGTTCAACACTTTTAGACACGGGTGTTTCTGAATGATTAGCTTTCTTTTATTATGTTTATATCGTAACTTTTAACTCACTGTACATTTTAATAGCCATCATTTTAAGATATAAATTATATATTTACTGAGTTCATTGCCTTACGCCAGGCCCCGCCATCTTATCCGAAGCATCTGTCTGCGAGGTTATCTCCCTTTGACCATGGGTTACCTCCCTTAGACCATGGTTTCCTATCCTGAGTCTGTAGTGTCACCTGTCTGGCAGTAAACAAGCTACATCGCTTGCAGTTCGTCTCTGTTGTTGTTTTTCTAGTCTGTTTGTTTATCTGTTTACGGGGGTAGCCTAGTGGTTAAAGCGTTCGATCGTCACGCCGAAGACCCAAGTTCGATTCCCCACATGGGTACAATGTGTGAAGCCCATTTCTGGTATTTTCCCCCCCCCCAGTGATATTGCGGGAATATTGTTGAAAGCGGCGTAAAACCCAACTGAACTCACTATCTGTTTGACCGCCTCCGTGGTGTAGTGGTTAGAGCGTCCGCCCGGAGAGCGGAAGGTCGCGGGTTCGATCCCCGACCGCGTCATACCAAAAGACATTAAAATATGGTACTTGTTGGTCCCTGCCTGGCGCTCGGCATTAATGGGTACAAGGACTGGTCGGCTCGGAGTCAGTATACTGTCTCTGAGTGGGGTATTCATGCTTCACTGCGGTATGGTATCTCAGTGGGCTAGCACTATAAAACCAGCTTAAGTCTGGGCTAGTACAAGCAGCTGCACATACACACGCATGCACGTCGTCATATGAGCGTAATATTCTCAAGCACGACGTAAAACCCACTTTCACCTCACCTCTGATCCAGACTTGAGTATTCACAGAACGCTGTCAAATATCTGGAATATTGCCGAGTGCAGCGTTAAACTTTAACAGACTGCCAGAGGTCATCACCAAACACAACGGGGTGAGGTAAATCGAGTTCTACTGGACAAGGCACAGGATCATAATCGGGACAAAGCTTGGATCGAACCAACGATCACAACCTTGATGCCATGGCTTTGAGACATACGTTATTTGGGGTAGAATAGGTCTTCAGCAACCCATGCTTGCCACAAAAGGCGACTATAGCTATGCTTGTCGTAAGAGGCAACTAACGGGATCGGGTGGTCAGACTCGATGACTTGGTTGACACATGTCATCGGTTCCCAATTGCGCAGATTGATGCCCATGCTGTTGATCACTGGATTGTCTGGTCCAGACACGATTATTTACAGACAACCGCCATATAGCTGGAATATTGCTGAGTGCGGCGTAAAACTAAACTCACTCACTCATACGTTATTTGTGTTTTGTTCAACGCCTACACATCAGTATGGCAGCAGTCTGTAAATAATCCATACAATCTAGTGATCACATATACCCTCCACTCCGATGTTGAAATGTCCGGTATCTAGTTACCGTTAGAGGGGCGCGATGAGCGTTGTCTTCCACGATATCCAATGATCAACAGCATGCGCATCGATCTACGCAACTGGGATAGATGACACGTGTCAACCAAGTCATCGAGCCTCACCACCATCCCGTGAGTCGTCTCTTACGACAAGCATGGGTTGCTGAAGATCAATTCGAAGACACGCAAGCGTGCAGTTGCGCTCATAGGTGTATTAGGCCGTAATCAATCCGAGTCGACCATCTTTTTCTTATTCCCTCACCCGGTCGGTAGTCTCTCGTTCCATCGCTCGTATTACTTAAAATAATGAGTGAGTATGGTTTTACGCCGCTTTTAGCAATATTCCAGCAACATCCCGGCGGGGGGACACTAGAAATGGGCTTCACACATTGTACCTATGTGGAGAATCAAACCCGGGCCTTCGGCGTGACGAGCGAACGCTTTAACCACAAGGCTATCCCACCGGCCCCACTCAAACTAATCCACCGTCGGCGGTAAATGAGTATAATAATGAAGTACATACAAAATGTACAACAAGATGACTAAATGATGCAAGTGTTTACAAACAATCTTAATGAGGTGAGGTGAAATTGGGTTTAACGTCGTGCTTGAGAATATTTCGCTCATATGACGACGTGCATGCGTGTGTATGTGTATGTGCGGCTGCTCGTACTAGCCCAGACTGAAGCTGGTTTTATAGTGCCAACCCACTGAGATACCATGCCGCAGTGAAGCATGAATACCCCACTCAGACACATTATACTGACTCTGAGCCGACCAGTCCTTGTTGCACCCATTAATGCCGAGCGCCAGGCAGGGACCAACAAGTACCATATTTTAAAGTCTTTTGGTATGACGCGGTCGGGATCGAACCCGCGACCAAATTAGAAACGAATGAGGGAACACATGAAAGTACAAGTGTTCCTTTATTTATTTCCAGTATTTCACTCACAGTGCAATACATACCTTGTGAAAAAAACTGAAAAAGAATAAAGGAACACTTGTACTTTCATGTGTTCCCTTATTTGTTGCCATGAGTATATACGTGGTAGTGAGTCAACGCCCGCCAGGAGAGCGGAAGGTCGATAGTTTCATCTCCAGTCACGTTAGGGTTGTGGGGTAGTCCACTCTAGGGCTGGCCAAAAAGATCGATAATCGGAATCGTTGATCTGAATTTTATTGATAATTATCGATATGAAAATAGTGTCATCGATAAAAAAAAAACTTTTGTAATAGAATAACGTATATAACTTGACACACACAATACACAAAGTTAGGCTTGTATTCTTGGGCTGCTTCTACAATACGTTTAGGACGCTGTTTTACTAATAACCCATGCATAAACAAAGATACTTCTCCGATATTTATCGATAATCGATCGATATTTATGTAACGATTATCGATCTGATTACACAATGCCATTTAGAAAGTGATCAAATGTAACATATGTTATATTTGGGATTACACTTTCTTTGTAAAGTACAGATTCTAGTACTTTTGTTGGGTTGAGTTGATTCGAACCTACACCCTCAGAGTCAGGCACCTAATCGCCAGCACACAAAGTCAGCCGCCTAAAAAATAGCTTACGGCCGTGGGAGCCGTGCCAATTTACATTTAACAGAGGGGTACACAAACTTCGCAGTCCAGACTACCAGTTGTCCGACTTTCATTTTTTCGAGGGGCGGTGGGGTAATCTAGTGGTTAAAGCGTTGGCTCGTCACGCCGAAGACCCAGGTTCGAATCCTCACATGAGTACAATGTGTGAAGCCCATTTCTGGTGTCCCCCGCCGTGATATTGCTGGAATATTGCTAAAAGCGGCGTAAAAACCAAACCCAGTCAGTCAGTCATTTTTTCGAATCCCGGATGGGACTCAACCAAACAAAAGTACTAGCATCTGTACTTTACAAAGAAAGTGTAATCCCAAATATAACATATGTTAGATTATCAATCTGTATATCGATAGCCAGCCCTAACAGACACACAGAGTACGTTTTCACTTACAGCTGTACTTGTTAACATCTAAAGACAGAGTTAGTTTATATCGGTGAAGATCCGGGTTAGAATTTCAACATATGCTTGTCAATCAATCAATCACAAATACTTCATGTGGTCAGAGTCGCTGACTTGGTTGACACATGTCATTGTATCCCAATAGCGTAGAAAGATGCTCGTGATGTTGATCACTAGATTGTCTGGTCTGGACTTGATTATTTACACACCGCCGTCGTATAGCTGGAATATTGCTGAGTGCAGCAATTAACCAATCAATCAATTAATCACTAATATTTTATATATTTTGGATATGTTTTTAACTCCCATGCCAGGAGTGGACACTCAACACTTAAAGACACAAGTCGACATAATGTTTCACCTTTTATGTGTATCACTTCTAAATGCCGTTCAAAGACTTTAAAATGCTTTGAATACAGGTTCTTCTAAAGAGAGTGAGTATTGTATTATCAAGGTAGAATAACTAAAAGGTCTTCAGAAAAACAATCCTTCCCATTCCGACAGTCGGAAACTAAAATACTTTGAATATAGGTTCTATAAAAGAAAGATCGAGTATTGTATTATCAAGATTACAATACCTAAGGCGTCGTAAAGCAAAAAAACCCAATCACTTTGTAAATATGTTCCATGTTGGGACTCCAAGTCAGTTTAGACCCAAACATATTTATACTATTCAATGTTACCTGGCAGCGTGTTGGCAATATTTCTAAAGAAAAGGTGACTATTGTGGCAAAATAATGATCGTCGATCCACCTGGCGCTTGTGATTGGTTCGTGACCAAGACTCCCTCCCTCAAATGCTGTGGTAATCTGTATCCTCCCAGCGTTAAGGCGACCGCCTCCGTGGTGTAGTGGTTAGAGCGTCCGCCTTGAGAGCGGAAGGTCGCGGGTTCGATCCCCGGCCGCGTCATACCAAAAGACGTTAAAATATGGTACTTGTTGGTGTCTGCCTGGTGCTCGGCATTAATGGGTACAACAAGGACTGGTCGGCTCGGAGTCAGTATAATGTGTCTGAGTGGGGTATTCATGCTTCACTGCGGCATGGTATCTCAGTGGGCTAGCACTATAAAACCAGCTTCAGTCTGGGCTAGTACAAGCAGCCGCACATACACATACTCACGCATGCACGTCGTCATATGAGCGAAATATTCTCAAGCACGACGTTAAACCCAATTTCACCTCACCTCACCTCCCAGCGTTAAGATCAACTTGTGATTGTTTTCGAAGCTCTATAAAGGGCGCTATTGGTGCAGGAAATATGTTTTGTACTAAGTCTAATAGACAGCAGGTTGTAGACGCCCAGGCAGGTCTATCTTCTCGCCAAATCTCGGGAAGCCATATCGTTCGAGAACGATATTACCGTCGGACAACTCTCGCGGTGTCAGGGGGGAAACGTGTTCCTGTTGACTTCCGGCTGATTGACGAGCCTCGTTGTGAGTCGACTTCAAATGCAGCCAAAGCTTTCGAGACATGTTTCTCTGGTATGTTTAATTTCTGGAACAAGGCTCTAACCATTCCTTCCTTCTCCTTAACAAGCTCTTCGTACTTAACGGCAAATATCGGGATCCCACTCTTCCTAAACTCCGTGTATCTCGCCATGAGGGCTGACGTCATTATCATCGTGTGTCCTACCATACACAATTTTACCGCCATATCCTCAAGGTCATGGTCATAGCGATCCACCCGTGAAAATATTTTGTACAGACTCTGTCGAAGTCCTGGAAAGAACCTCGCGAGTAAATCAGAATCTATCATCACCTTTGCTAACTTTGTGAGAAATTCCGACTGAGTTAACCCCTTGGCAGAGACGGCGTATGGCAAACTATCTCTGTATAGAAACAGGTGCTTGATTTCAGGAAACATCTCACATATGACCTTGACCTCTGCGAATGTGAATGAAGCGACCTTCATAATAATTCTTTGAGCTCCTGGCAGCGTCTTACACTGCAGCCTGATGACACTCTGCAGCAGCTTGAGAACTTCCTCTTCCGGGCAGGTTTCAAGTTTACTTAACGTTGTGACAGATATTAGGGCCTCTGGTTCTCCGAGGGTTATTGTTCCGGGGACCTTCTCAAACACCTGGCTGAGAAGAGTAGAGCCACAGCGTCCAGTGCTAGAGAGCCATATGACAGGGACCTGAGGGTCTCCCGTCTCGTCCGCCAGACGGTGGAAGGCTTCCACAGGAATGGTGTATACCTTCTCAGCATTGACAGTCTGGGCCCACTTCATGAAAGGATGGGTGTCAGAGCTGTAGATGTCTACATTTTTGTCCGTCTTTAAAAATATAGCCTCTGTTGAAGTGATATTATACAGAGATACTGATGGGTCCAAGAGGATTCGAGGATGGTCAAACCTTTCGTGTGTAGTCCAGAATTCATTTGTATTTGAAGGCGTCGCATGAGACACTTTCCTTTTCCAAAGCACGTGTTGCACATGGACGGAACGTTCATAGCACGTGCTGGTAGCTGCACGTGCAGACTGTACCCCAGTAAGTCTCCAAATAAGGCCGTGGAGAACTTTGTATATTGGTGTCAGAATCAGGAATATGATGGAAGCGAGGCTGGACGACATGTCAGAGAACATCTTCTGGTTTCTGGGGAGGAAAAAAATATGTGAAGTTTTACATTCAGTCTGTACACTAAAAGGCAAAGTTTATATGGAACCCAAACACCCGTCTCTCTTATAATACATACTACAAAAAAGCAGAATTATTGCACGAGTCATTTTAAAGTATTTGTTTAATTACAGGTGACTGATTGATTGATTGTTTGTTGTCTAACGCCTCACTCATCAATATTCCAGACAATCCAGTGATCAACAGCATGAGCATCTCTCTACGCAAATGAGATACGAGAGCACGTTTCAACCAAGTCACCGAGCCTGACCACTCCATCCCGTTGGTCGCCTTTTATGACAAACATGGGTTGCTGAAGACCAGTTCTAACCCGGATCTTCACGGGCCACAGTTGAATGAGCAAGTGCTGACGCCAAGTTTGACATATATCAGTATCACGGCGTGCCAGCTTAGCGGAGGTGCAGTTCTGCTCGACAGACTGCAAGTTTCTTGTGCCAGGTACTTGAAGCGTTCGCTTGTCACGGCGACGACTCGGGTTTAATTCCCATATGGATACAATGTGTGAAGCCCATTTCTATTGTCCCCCCGCCGTGATGTTGTGAAAAGCTAAGAGCTGCATTAATCACTCACTGTATTCTCCTTGAATTATGCAGCTCGGAGTGTATGTTTTTCCTTTTTTTTAAACATTATCCCTATTGATGTATTGATGATTTCAAATGTGGAATACAAACTATATAGTATTGCCTGTTTAAAAATATAGACTGATAATATGGTAATATGAAAGAAGTTAATTATGCGGTTAACCCACAGGTAATAAGTACGTTACCACACTCTTTGACCTCTGTAAATGCTCATTATCTATAGAAATAGATCAGAAATAAATTGTAGTGCTTCAGTGTTTTTTTAATTCACCCTCAGAAGATCAATAAATGCAGAAAAAGCGCAAAGGTGAGGGAAGTAGTCAGCACAATATGTAGAGGGTAATGTCCGAGTAAGTCTCCATTGCTTAAAAATAATGGAGCCGAGGCCCCGGAGGGGCCGAGGCACATTATTTTTAAGGAATGGAGAGTTACGAGGATATTACCCTACTTAAATTACATTCGAAGTATTGGGAATATTTCTGTCATGAAAATTAAATGTCAAAATGACAAAATGAAGGTTTTATTTTGAAACTGGTACACATCGCTCCATTCCTGAAAAGTAATGGAGCGAACAGACAATGGAATGACGTCACAAATGTAATTTAAGAATACCTCACTCGAACGTGAACAGAAAAAAATGTAAAAGTTATCATTCGAACCCCCTTCTGCCCAGCCCCTCCTGTGGGAACAAAAGCTCAGAGTGAAGTCCCTCTTCTCTCGGAGCTCCATTTCAAGTTAAAAAGTTATTTGTTTCTCTCAAATTATGTATTTTCAGACGTCGGGCGTGGGCGAGCTGGCTAAGGCGCCAGGCTCGTGATCCAGCGAGGTTGAGGTGTCGGGATCGCGCCCACCTGTGACCGGGTGTAAAAACCTTGGAGTCAACTTTTGTGTGCAGACTCTTTCAGTGTTGTCACAACCCCTAGTGTACAGTACACAACGCTGTGCACTTAAAAGAACCCACGAATCCGGTGGTATATGACCAGATGGTGGCCACATGAATACGTGCAAACACCTAGTTGTGGGTACAGCAACGTGCAGTAAACTTGGACAAAGTACTGTGACTATGTGTCCCAGTCCACCCAGCTGTGAATGGGTACCTCGTTAGGATGAGAAAGCCACAACTCAGTGCGCCTACTTCCCAGGGAGTTGAGATTGATAATACCATGTGCCGTTGAGATTGGCATCTAATGTAAAAAAAGTACCAGCGCCTTGAGCATGCACTAGTTGCCGGGGTATTTGCGCTTTATAAATATCCTATATTAATATTAGTTATATAACCGCTATTTCGAGCCCTTTTCCGACTAGTCGACTCAAAGTTTACTCGAATACATGACAGGTTTTTGTTTACTCACCAACTTTGACGAAGCACTCTCATACAAGCTGCAGCTTCCTGATGAATATACAGTGATCCAAGTTACTGTTCTTGTATTGCAGGGAAGCCAGGGATTCAGAGGTGACAGGCTCAGATGTGTCCCAGAATAGAGCGACTATTCATGCCTCTCCTTGGCTCTTTCACAATAACCTTGTGCACAGTAAAGGCCCAGGAAAGAGCGACTATTCATGCCTCTCCTTGGCTCTTTCACAATAACCTTGTGCACAGTACACGCCCAGTCACCCGTATCCCACCTCTGTCATGACGGCTTGTCAATAACTGACTGTTGGAGAAAGAGGTAAATCGACCTCGTCGGTAGTATTCCCAACGTATACAGTCGCGGAATAAAAAACAGGTGTTGCATGCATGTTTTCACAACAGCCTGCCCTCATGTAAACTGATATTTAGACTCAGAAATAAAGTTATCTTTAAAATATTTTCAAAGCAAATCCAAACGGAATCCAGAACTATACGATGGGTATTGTTTTACGCCACATATTCCAGCAGAATTCCAGCAATATTTACGGCAGGAGATACCAGAAATTAGTTTCACATATTGTACCCATGTGGGGAATAAAACCCCGGTCTTTGGCATAACGAGCGAACACCTTAACCACTAGGCTACCCCACCGCCCCTTTAATGTCTAGAGCTGAGGCAATCGAGTCTTGCCCAACCAATCCTAAAGGAAATCACAGTTAACATCACCGAAACAGTGGACATCAAATTTAAATGTCTTCCGGCAGTGACCTATTGTCCACCGGTGATGCGTGAGTGAGTGATGACAACGACTACTACATCGTCATAGTGAAACACCGGGGATGACAACGAGTACTACATCGTTATAGTGACCCACCGGGGATGACAACGACTACTACATCGTTATAGTGACCCACCGGGGATGACAACGACTACTACATCGTCTTAGTGAACCATCGGGGATGACAACGACTACTACATCGTCATAGTGAACAACAGGGGATGACAACGACTACTACATCGTCATAGTGAACAACAGAGGATGACAACGACTACTACATCGTCATAGTGAACAACAGGGGATGACAACGACTACTACATCGTCATAGTGAACAACAGGGATGACAACGACTACTACATTGTCATAGTGAACCATCGGGGATGACAACGAGTACTACATCGTTATAGTGACCCACTGGGGATGACAACGACTACTACATCGTCATAGTGAAACACCGGGGATGATAACAACTACTACATTGTCATAGTGGACCACGAATGTTGACAACGACTACTACATTGTCATAGTGAACAACAGGGGATGACAGCTACTACTACATGGTCATAGTGAACAACAAGGGATGACAACGACTACTACATGGTCATAGTGAACAACAGGGGATGACAACGACTACTACATGGCCATAGTGAAACACCGGGGATGACTACGACTACTACATGACATAGTGAACAAAGGGATGACAACGGCTACTACATCGTCATAGTGAACCACGAATGTTGACAACGACTACTACATCGTCATAGTGGACCACCGGGGATGACAACGACTACTACATCGTCATAGTGAACTACCGGGGATGACAGCTACTACTACATCGTCATAGTGAACAACGAATGATGACAACGACTACTACATGGTCATAGTGAACTACCGGGGATGACAACGACTACTACATCGTCATAGTGAACCACTACAACGACTACTACATGGTGATGACAACGACTACTACTACATCGTCATAGTGAACTACCGGGGATGACAACGACTACTACATGGTCATAGTGAACCACCGGGGATGACAACGACTACTACATGGTCATAGTGAACTACCGGGGATGACAACGACTACTACATGGGGATGACAACGACTACTACATCGTCATAGTGAACAACCGGGGATGACAACGACTACTACATACATCGTCATACTGACAACGACTACTACATCGTCATAGTGAACAACAGGGGATGACAACGACTACTACATCGTCATAGTGAACCACCGGGGATGACAACGACTACTACATGGTCATAGTGAACCACGGGGGATGACAACGACTACTACATTGTCATAGTGAACCACCGGGGATGACAACGACTACTACATCGTCATAGTGAACCCCTTGACTCAAAGCACTATATGACGGGCGCCACGGTGTGGAAAGATTGATTTCAAACTAAATGGCTTTCAACTCCTCAAACAATGTAAAAATAACAATAAACTTTTTTATAGTGTCAATTCCAAAATCAACTACAGGAACTTGCGAAAGTAGGTCCACTAGTAGGGACACCAGAAGTAGGCTACACACATTTACCCATGCGGAGAATGGTGATCACGGAGGATGGCGCCACGAAACCCGTGCCTTCTGAAAGGCCCCATACGTTGCTGGCTTCCCAGGTCCATATGGTCCACATCGAGAGGAGGTTCAAGCTATAAGTTATGAGTTTAACAGCCGATGTTTTACAAATGGGTATCTGAAATTTTACTAGCTGTATTTAATACTTTATGATTTCAGTGAAGATCCGGGTTAGAATTGGTCTTCAGCAACTCATGCTTGTCACATGTCATCGTATCCCAATAGCGTGAGAGATGTTCGTGATGTTGATCACTGGATTGTCTGGTCCAGATTTGATTATTTACAGACCGCCGTCGTATAGCTGGAATATTGCTGAATGCGACGTTAAACAACAATCAATCAATCAATCAATTAATCACTAATATTTTATATATTTTGGATATGTTTTAACAGCCCGACTCCCATGCCAGGAGTGGACACTCAACACTTAAAGACACAAGTCGACATAATGTTTCACCTTTTATGTGTATCACTTCTAAATGCCCTTCAAAGACTTTAAAATGCTTTGAATAAAGGTTCTTCTAAAGAGAGTGAGTATTGTATTATCAAGGTAGAATGGTCTTCAGAAAAACAATCGTTCCCATTCCGACAGTCGACATTAAAAACTAAAATACTTTGAATATAGGTTCTATAAAAGAAAGATCGAGTATTGTATTATCAAGATATTACAATACCTAAGGCATCGTAAAGGAAAAACCCAATCACTTTGTAAATATGTTCCATGTTGGGAGTCCAAGTCAGTTTAGAACCAAACATATTTTTACTATTCGATGTTACCTAACAACGTGTTGGCAATCTTTCTAAAGAAAAGGTGACTATTGTGGCAAAATAATGATCGTCGATCCACCTGGCGCTTGTGATTGGTTCGTGACCAAGACTCACTCCCTCAAATGCTGTGGTAATCTCCATTCTCCCGGCGTTAAGGCGACCGCCTCCGTGGTGTAGTGGTAAGAGCATCCGCCCGGAGAGCGGAAGGTCGCGGGTTCGATCCCCGGCCGCGTCATTCCAAAAGACGTTAAAATATGGTACTTGTTGGTCCTTGCCTGGCGCTCGGCATTAATGGGTACAACAAGGACTGGTCGGCTCGGAGTCAGTATAATGTGTCTGAGTGGGGTATTCATGCTTCACTGCGGCATGGTATCTCAGTGGGCTAGCACTATAAAAACAGCTTCAGTCTGGGCTAGTACACGCAGCCGCACATACACATACTCACGCATGCACGTCGTCATATGTGCGAAATATTCTCAAGCACGACGTTAAAACCCAATTTCACCTCACCTCACCTCACCTCCCAGCGTTAAGATCAACTTGTGATTGTTTTCGAAGCTCTATAAAGGGCGCTATTGGTGCAGGAAATATGTTTTGTACTAAGTCTAATAGACAGCAGGTTGTAGACGCCCAGGCAGGTCTATCTTCTCGCCAAATCTCGGGAAGCCATATCGTTCGAGAACGATATTACCGTCGGACAACTCTCGCGGTGTCAGGGGGAAACGTGTTCCTGTTGACTTCCGGCTGATTGACGAGCCTCGTTGTGAGTCGACTTCAAATGCAGCCAGAGCTTTCGAGACATGTTTCTCTGGTATGTCTAATTTCTGGAACAAGGCTCTAACCATTCCTTCTTTTTCCTTCACAAGCTCTTCGTACTGAACGGCAAATATCGGGATCCCACTCTCTCGAAACTCCGTGTATCTCGCCATGAGGGCTGACGTCATTATCATCGAGTGTCCTATCATACACAATTTTACCGCCATATCCTCAAGGTCATGGTCATAGCGATCCACCCGCATAAACATCTTATACAGACTCTGTCGAAGTCCTGGAAAGAACCTCGCGAGTAAATCAGAATCTATCATCACCTTTGCTAACTTTGTGAGAAATTCCGACTGAGTAAACCCCTTGGCAGAGACGGCGTATGGCAAACTATCTCTGTATAGAAACAGGTGCTTGATTTCAGGAAACATCTCACATATGACCTTGACCTCTGCGAATGTGAATGAAGCGACCTTCATAATAATTCTTTGAGCTCCTGGCAGCGTCTTACACTGCAGTCTGATGACACTCTGCAGCAGCTTGAGAACTTCCTCTTCCGGGGAGGTTTCAAGTTTACTTAACGTTGTGACAGATATTAGGGCCTCTGGTTCCCCGAGGGTTATTGTTCCGGGGACCTTCTCAAACACCTGGCTGAGAAGAGTAGAGCCACAGCGTCCAGTGCTAGAGAGCCATATGACAGGGACCTGAGGGTCTCCCGTCTCGTCCGCCAGACGATGGAAGGCTTCCACAGGAATGGTGTACAATTTCTCAGCATTGGCAGCCTGGGCCCACTTCATGAAAGGATGTGTGTCAGAGCTGTAGATGTCTACATCTTTGTCCGTCTTTAAAAATATAGCCTCTGTGGAAGTGATATTATACAGAGATACTGATGGGTCCAAGAGGATTCGAGGATGGTCAAATCTTTCGTGTGTAGTCCAGAATTCATTTGTATTTGAAGGCGTCGCATGAGACACTTTCCTTTTCCAAAGCACGTGTTGCACGTGGACGGCACGTTCATAGCACGTGCTGGTAGCTGCACGTGCAGACTGTACCCCAGTAATTCTCCAAATAAGGCCCTGGAGAACTTTGTATATTGGTGTCAGAATCAGGAATATAATGGAAGCGAGGCTGGATGACAGGTCAGAGAACATCTTCTGGTTTCTGGGGAAGATAAAAATATGTGGAACATCTGTCTCTCTTATAATATACTCATGCCAATAATGGTTGTCACCCCCTTCAATGTTTCTAATTGGAGAGGGGGTGTGGGG